TGTGGTAGTTTTGTTCTTTAGAAATAAGTTACTTACTTTGGTAACTTATAATTAATTAAGTGCGTGTACGCCTTCTTACATTCTGTGGGATATTTTAATTTAGGGAGATTTTACGGTGCCTTTTGGTATCAGATGGTCATGTTAGATTCACCATTGGATGGTTTTCACCCTTAGATTGTGACAATTTCGATCATTCAAAAGATAAACTACTATCGTCATTGAGGGAATGCTACCTCAAAAGGGACCTTAAAAGTTTCCTCTAATTTATTGTCCACTTAGAAGTAGGCACTAGCAGTGCATTCGCCTTCCATATTAAGTCCTATTCACTTTTCAAATACACTACCGATTCTAAGCTTGAAGATGTAGATTTCTACGCTTGTATAGATGATATTACCCACTATGGGTTGTCTAACTTTCTGCAAAGAGTTTTACTACCGCTACTGTATTTTTGGGTTATAACCTGGGATGCTTCACATACCATTTTTCCGATATAGAGGGGTTTTGTTGTCTGTACTACTACTGTTACCTTGGCAAGCTTCAATCTATTTATTTCTTTATTCTGGTTGTTGACTTGAGCTTTTAATCCTTCTTGCTTAACTGGTTGGCTTGCTTTTGCTGCCACCACGGAAAAGAATTTACTAGTCTCATTGTGGTTTTTCCTTTCCGGTAACCACGCTGCAGCATCACAAATTATGCAAATCTTGGGGAACATAGTCTAGAAGAAAGTAGAAAATGTTTCTCTAGTGACGTCTGAAATGACATTGAATTTTTTGCTAACATCTAATAGACTCTTGCAAAAATTGCTCGTTCTTTCTAATGAGACGTTGAATGCAGTCGTGAAACCACAGTGGAGGGCACTTTATATTTAGTATCTTCTACCGTAACTTTGGTTGTTACACAGTGTATTGCTCGATGCTTGAAAACTATAGTAGTAATCATTACCTTCTGTTTTGATTGTTGCCAAAGTTTAGCAATTCCACATTATCTGGCACCACCTACTTTACATTGCTGGTTTTCCACTCATAACTTTGTGGTCGTATTTCTTATTTTGGTGATAGATTATACGTTATTATTGCAGCAAAGGTTATATTTGAGGTTTTTTTTTTAAAATAAAAGTGTTGAATTTAGATCAATTCAGATGCTGAGTAAGATACATTCAGGTTTAGCTTAAAAGGTGGGTCCAAATAGTTTAGGATTGAGTTCCACAGAAGTGGCTTGGCAACAGCGCGAGTAACTCATTGCAGTGACTGTGTGTGCCCTTGATTTTTACTTATTTGTTGCACATTGCATCTCTAATTGAATTAGTTCATTTTAAATTGTTTAATGACGAAATTCCCCTTTATCCATGTTTGCTGAGTTCATCCAGTTTACAAATTTTTATTTTTTGTAGTTTAGTTCTTGCTGGTATGGTTGTAGTTTTGCCCTTGATTGTAAGGTGGAGAAATGAGGTTAATGTTTGTATGAACTCGCAACTTTTTCGGAGGATTTACTTGTTACAAATGGGACATTATATGTTTTATGGTAGTTAAAATGTTCAAGAATATATTTGGGCATGAAATATTTTCTACTACAATAGATAAGTTCGTCTTTTGGATTCTCAATGTACCTTTCACTTGTATCCTAGAACGGAAGTATGAAACAGCACTTGAGACATTGATTGTAGTTGCACATTTTGATCAATAAAGTCATTTTCTTTTGATTATTGTTGTTAAAAGTTATGATTCTGATGCAAGAAGTATGAGACATGCTGACATGCAGAAACTCTAGACATCATTGTCTATCTCTCAAACTATGTTTAGTTAGGTTTTATTGCACTGCAGGCATACCTTGGAAACTATGAACCTGTATTTCAAACTTAATGTTCTTATCTATCCCATGTTGCAGGCAGACTTCAAGTTTCCTGCCAGAAGAAATAAAAGGCGGAACTTGCAAGGTATGGGAAGCAGAGTATGCTGTTTTCTAGGAGTTTCTCCTCCAAGCATAGAGCTCCAACCACCAAATGCACTTACGTCAGATAATCCTTTCTGTGGACAGAAGGTCATTGATACCGTCAGCAGCAAGAATGCAGAGATGCAAAATGCCACAGAAGCATTGACCAAAAGATTGGTAATAATAGATTTAGACCCTGCTACAGCAAAAGCGGCAATTGCAATTCTTGGGCCATTCCTCTCAGCATTTTCTTTTTTGTTCATCCTGAGAATAATCATGTCCTGGTACCCGAAGCTGCCTGTTGAAAAGTTTCCGTACTTCATAGCATATGCACCCACCGAGCCACTTCTCATTCCGACACGCCGGTTGATTCCACCCCTAGGTGGAGTTGATGTAACACCTGTAGTCTGGTTTGGGTTGATCAGCTTCCTTAATGAAATATTAGTAGGTCCACAAGGGCTTCTCGTCCTCTTATCTCAACAGATTAGCTGACAAGCATGCTGCTGGTACATGTCAAACTAAATAACTACTTCTAAATATACAGCATTGGGAGTGTATTTTAGATAATCAGAAATGAGGACAAAACAAATTTGATTCTGTGATGCTATCTTCTAGCTCCATTAGTTACCGACTAGCTTCTGTATCTCTAGAAGGGTTTGTGCTGCTTTTAGCAGATGGGAAGAAAAGAGAATCAAACGTTGAGGAGTTCACTTTTTGCCTCTGCCTGGATATGGTGGGTATATAGAGTAGCCAGTATTGTTGCCACTGTGGAGTTAATCTGAAAGCTGGATGTCTGAAGCATGATCACTGCTGTTATAGCTTAGGCTATGTATTAGGGTTCAATTGTTTCCCTCAATTTATTGTATAACCTTCCTATTCAGTTGTTCTTATTACCTTTCTTATGCATGGTATCTAGTTGGTTGACAAAATTTATACGTGGGCTTTGGTTAAAATTCCTGCATGGATGTTTGATTCCAAGGTCCAATGTCTGTATTTTTGACTTGGTACGCATTGCTCTTTGTGCTTTTTATTGAAGCACCTTCCCTCTTATGGCAAACGACCACGGTAACCCTCAAGTTTCATTGAAACAGAGTGCAAATATTTTAAAATAAAACACAAGAATAAAAAAAGGAGACAAAAAAGTTACCGAGAAAATTACTATTCTCTCTTTTTCAATCTCTCCCTTTCGGCAAAACTAAACTTGGCTATGCTTGGTCTTGTAGCCGTGTGAATCAAATTTTATCACATCATCTCACCAATTCAAAAGTTGGTGACTTGTACTAATGAAAATTTGACTCCACGAGAAATTGAACAAAAGGCTGCTGAATTGGCCTATTTCTTGTGTGTACCAATTGAAATATTTTTGAGAAATGCGTGGAAAAATAGATGCTTTTTCAACAAGAGGGGAAAATGCAAGAATCTTTTTTCCTATAACATAACTTAAGTGTGAAGTTTCATCAGAAGATTCATTCAGAAGGTTTATTCAAGCTAAAACGGGCAGAACAACCATAAACGGAAACTTGGTGAGATGGTGTGGTAAAATTTGGATCACATGATCTGCATAGATCGGACTATATATAGATCGGATCTATCGAAATGTTTGCCAACAAAATATAGGTAAGATAGCTGAAAGAAACTCGAAGGGAAGACAAACATTTGCGGTAAATTTGGTCTATGTAAATCATGTGATCCAAATTTTATCACACCATTTCACCAATTCAAGAGTTGATAATCAGGCAAATGTGATGCAGGATGAGTCTAAAATAAGATTTTGTCACGTCATTTCACTAATTTAAGAATTGATGATAAGGCAATGTGATGGAGGATGGCGAGGGATGATAATGCAACGGGATCCAGCCATCTAACTCCCGGTAGCAACATTTTCGAGTTTATTTCTGGGGATAATTTTAGAAACCTCTCACGAGTTTTCCAACTATTTCACCGATCTTTTTTTAAAATTTAAAAATTATACTAACCTTCCTTAATATTTATTAATTTGTAACATCTAGATCCAATTAACAATTAAAAAGTGATATCAGAAGAGAGAAAATAATTAATATAATTCCATTATTACCCATCATCTACTACATTATTTAATTAATTTAATATCAACCAACACATTAAAGAAAAACCCTAAAATTTAAAGGTCTTTGGACGAATTTGAGGAAAAGTTAACTTTTGATTGTGCCCAACTCATGTATGATAAAAAGGTCTTTGGACGAATTTCCGGTCTTTGGCAATTTTGTTCGAGATTAACAAAAGAAAACCTTTAGAGTTGAGACTTTTGGCTTTTGTTGTTTTTCTTTGCTTTTCTTCTTTTGCTGTTTCGGGAGTTTTAGTGTGTCTATGAGGATGATATACACGAGATAATTCCTTAAAAAAAAAAAATCGACAAATGTTGACTTAACAATGTGGTGTTTGGCAACTATGCTTGCCGTACTTAATGTATTTTGACAAATGTTTAGGAACACATTCCTGCTAAATCAACAATTAACGGATTTTTTTTGAGCAATAATCTAAGGAATTTGTCCATATATGTGTAATTTTGTGATTTAGAATGAAATAAACTGATTGAACTTGTGTTGATTTGGTCATCACCAGCAACATCCATCAGTATATCGTGCGTTGATGAAGAGGAAATATAAATTAATCCTCAAGTTGCAGTTGATTGTTTACTTTTTGAGGTTTTTCAAATTCACTTTTATAGTAGAGGTTATTATGGTCATTTTGTTGGTTCTGTTTGTTTGATCATCAGCAAGGGCGTGACTAGGATGTACGTGGGTCGAGCTATTCAATGACTTGGCTTGAACTCGATTTAATCGAGTTCGAATCGAATTCGAGCCGAGTCTCGAGATACTCGATTATACTTTGAAATCGAGTTTGAATCAGAATTTTACGATTTGTACTCGTCGGGCCGGATATATTTAATTAATATATATATTATAATTATAAAATAATCGTTATGGGTTTACAACGCACTCTTCTTAATAATAAAATTTTATAATGGCAGAAAAGAATAACATAATTGTAAAAGGCCTAAAAAGAAAAAATGTTGGGAAAAAGCGAAGAAACGATGGAAAATGTGCCAAAAAATTGTGAAATGCTTCAGACTTTAGTTTCTCTTTCTCCCTTCTTCTCTGTTCGAACTTCGAACCACTGAGTGACTTCTCAACCCTCTCTCCGATACTCTCAATCTCTCACTCGTCGCCGACGCCGTTGCTCGCCGCATCTGTCAGCCTCCATCGCCATCGCTACAGAGTTGGTTGACATCGGAGCTAATTTGAAGAGCGAAGAAGAGAGAGAGAGAGCTCGCAGCATCTGGTTACTGGTATGTCTGCCTCTGCTCTAATGTGCAATACCGTCTCATTCATTGATCCCGCACCCATTTAAATCCAACGGTCCACAACCTCTCAATTTCCCCCACAGATTTCTAATCCTATGGCTGCTTTGCCGATCTCCATGATATGAACACCGCCACACCACTCAAGTATTTATTAGCGTTATTTAACATTTCTGTTGTGTTGTTAGTAGTTACCAAAACAAAAGGTAGCAGTAGTTGTTAGTATCATAATTTATTCCGCTGTTTGTTGAATTCTTCTGCTGGGTTGAGGACATAATGACAGCATATTTTTTCACCTTGAATTATACGGTTGGAGGAGATTTAAAATATCCAGTCATTTTCCTTCAAAAGTAATTTTGACAGGACCCTATTTTGTCTGTTAAAGCTAATGGTGGAGAAGAAATTTGAGTCTGGGGACTTTGGATAGGTGTGCTTTTTTGTGGTAGTGGCTTTGTTCCTCCCCCCTTCCGATTGATAGTTGCCCCTCTACATAAGGGCCCGAATGGATCAAGTTCTCAATGTGATAAAATGGTTGGCTTAATTCACGAAGTAATGATTAAACATTATTATTAGCATGGGACAGAACAAAGGTGGTGGAAATGGAATTGGTGTTATGCCTTGGAGACAGGAACCGGGTGACTGCAATACGGTCAAACCTTGGGCTTTGATTTGTAATTTGGCCGAATCTTAAGGGAGCTAAGTGATTGATTTTTTTTTTTTGGGGTTTCTTGTTTTCTGTCTCTCTCTCTCTCTTTCTTTGGATTTATTCTCTAACTAGTTCTTAGAAGCTCCTCCACGCCAGAAGTCCATTCTAAAAACCCCTAATTTCAGAATTCAACTAGAATTTGACGAAGAATAAAAAATTGCTGGCAAGGATAGTAGTAGTAAACACTTCTGAGCTGTTCCCAAACTTTATCTGCCTGAATTTTACAGGTAATTTTTTCCTTTATTTTTTTGCCTTTTATTTTAGTGGTTTTAGGATCAGATCAGATAATTGTATTCATACATGCTCTCTGGTTAACATCGTTTGCGTGCCTAGACACCAAAATTTAATTGATTCTTGAGTTAACTTTATCCATGAATCAATGTTCTTTTTCCTTTTTTTTTAATCTTCCTTTGGTCCTTTTATTGTTGGGGAATTTAGGCAAATTGGCAGGGGGTAGATATACACTTTGGGTTTACATTTTTTTTGTTCAGATTATACATCCTATGTTTTCCTTGGTTTCAATTTATCTTAAAGTGCCCAAGTGAGGAAATGTTTGTATCCTGATGGCTTATGGTTATTTGGCATGATTAAATCTGTAAATTGACTGATATCATTTTTCTAAAACGCAAATTGAAAGGGAAAATGTAGAATTCTTGTAGTTTTTTTTTTTCAAATTTTTATGGCGCCTTTTTTTTTTTAAAAGGTGTTTTTTCTTTTAATAACAGGAAGAGTGAATTTAGCAAGGCAAGCATTACATAATTCCCATCTGAAATTTAAAGTTCTTGATGTTCTTACGTAGGAAAGATGATACCTAAGCCACTTATCTTGTTCTTTTTTCTTACTTTATGTGATTATTTTGTTGTGGTCAGTTACCTCCATGATATCACCAATGTCGATGATGACTCCGTGAATGGGTTTAGTCATTAGTGGGTGCCCATTATTGTTTTTCTTGATTTGCTGACCTTGAACTTCACTGACTTGAAATATTAAGGTCAGTCTTGTTGTATTGGAGTGTGAAGGTCTTTTGTTTTCCAATCTGTGCTTATTGGAAGGAGGATAGATTCTCTTACTAATGGAAAATGCAAACGAGGATGTATGAGTAAATATGATTTCTTGAACTAGTAATAAACTCTGAAAGATGATACTGCACTTTGAATTGAAGAAAGAGTGAGCATCCCTTTGCATATAGAAAAAAGACTCCAATTTGAGTAATGTCATATTACCAGCAAGAGTTTCAGTAAATGGAATCTGTCCATGAAAGTTGTGTACTTAAGTTTTTCCTTTTAGCTTTAAGTGTAAGCAAATTTGTTACAAGATTTTCCTTATTTTGAGTAAGATATGCTAGCTGATGGTAGATCTGCTTATGAGTTCTACTGTTGAGTTTTTATCAGCTCTTCTGATAAATAAACAGCATTAGTTGTATCTTTTTGATAAAGTATGGTTTTCCTGCATAACACTTCTGACTCATTGCGTTTCTTTTCTTTTTGCATTTTCATGCAGTAACATGCAATAAGATGTAGCTGCATGCTCTTTAGTAAATATGTCTAATGTTTAGTCTTATTTTGAAAAGTGGATATCCAATAGTTTTAAGTTCCATGCAGGTATTGATCTGACAACGTAATCGTTGTTATTTCTTCTATTTCCGTTCCCTTTTCATTTTTTCTCCTTTTTTCTGAAAGAAATCCTGGTTTTCAGTTTGGGAGGGTCCTAGTGCAGAACATAGAAAAGTGCTGTTATTTAATGGATTTCTTTTTGGGAATGGGGATGGAAAGTAGGGGTAGGGATAGGAGTACAAGGTTGTCAAGTTAGTTGTAGTAGCTGCAACAGCATAACAATTTCAAAATAACAGGAAAAGAAGCTGAGCCAAGAGTCATTAATTGACTGTGTATGATTTTTACTCTGTGCTTCTTCCTGTTTTAAATACTCCTTGTAGTTTCTAGTCTTTAAATTCTTCAGAAAGGTCGTTGCGAATGACATAAGTGTTTATGTTTTCAGCTGGTGGCGGCGAATATGGATGGTAATATACAAGCTATAAAGAAATGGATTGTGCTCTATCCTATCTACATCAACTCAAAGAAGACAATAGCTGAAGGCAGGCGGATTAGCGTCAGCAAAGCATGTGAAAACCCTACTTGTGTTGAAATCCATGATTGCTGTATTCACCTGAAACTTCCGTGTGCTATTGAGGTATGTTATTGAGCACTTTCATTTAAGTTTCCATCTCTTTGTTGCAGTTTGCAAAATTGTGTTTTACATCAACAAAGAGCTTGATGGATTGCTAATTTGATAATATGATTTGTCTTATATACTTTTATGAATGTAGTTTGATATTTGGGCATGTACACAACTCTCGTAGGTTGACAAGGCATATCCACGTGATTTTATGCAAAGGGGACGAGTAAGGGTTATGTTAAAAAGGGAAGATGGAAGTCTTTTCAATCCAGCCATTTCTTCCAGTAAGGACTGATTTTAAATTCTTAGCTTTGTAAAGATTTGATTTATTTATTTATTTGTTTATTGATTGAGCCGCGAGTTAACTCGGCATGTGGCTAAACTAGTTACTTCAGATGTTGAATGCTTCTAATTTTGTTGATGCAATATTGCATGGAAGATATTCATAAACAAGCTGTTGGCAGTTGTGTCTGAGATCGAAAATGAATAATCCATCATAATTATGCTCCTCCTAGTTATTTTGACAGAGGTTCCCCCCCCCTTCCCTTCTCCTCCTCCTCCCCACTCTTCCAAACTGCATGAGAACCAAGTATAAGAGGTTGGGGAGGAGGAAGGAAGGAAGAAGCAAAGTTTTTCAGAATAACAAAAAATTCACTAACCACACATATGTCTAGATAGTTAAGAAGTATGTGATTTAGTATTTCAGAATCATTAATTTGGAAAAGATGTGTAAACTTGGAACTACAAGATGACAGCACCATTTATTTTGGAGATGTATTAAAGTGTTTTTGTGCATGCTAAACAGAATACTGGAGATGGCTATCTGCAGTTTCGAGTACGAGTAGAATTAACAAGGCTGGATATTGGCTTTGATTAATTAAAATTTTTGGTTGCATTTTAAATAGCACTAATAACAGTTGTAAATGATACAATGCAGTTTTAGTGTTAAATGGACGGAATAGCTGCAATGAATATGCTGGGATAGAGGACGTAATTCTGGACTATTGAAGTTGATTGTGTTGGTTGAAATACTGTGCTGTTTTCTTGGTTTACCTTTGAGAATTTCTGGCATAAAACAGTGTCTATATTGCTGTCTGATGTATATGTGAGTCCCTCACAAACTACTTTTGTTCAATGGAATCAGTTATAACTAATCTTTTATATATATATATATATATATATATATATATGATGTTTCCTTCTTGTTTGGTCGGTATACGTGACAATCTGAAACAATAGTTCAAGACCTTGAATTTTGCATATGCATTGATTTTCTCATTATACTATTCTATATTTTGCATGAATTTATGTGGATGTCAATTCATTGATAAGCCAAAATTGGCGTTTAATCAAAGGTATGATGCATGTGGTGAACCATTGTGCTTTGTATTGATAGTGCTAGATTTAAGTTGCATAGGCTCCACATTTGCAATACAAAGTTTTCTCTAGCATTTTGAACTTTTATGGGACAATAGGAATCACATGGTTTGACATCACATGTTTGTTAACTTGTCAATATGTGGCAAATAGGTAAGTTGGAAAGATGTGGGTTGAAGAATGAGGCAATATATAATGAACTCGATAATTTATAGTTGAAAGATATTGGAAAGGAAGTGGAAAACAGACATGCTCCTTCTGCCATAGAGGAGCAAGACAGATCAGTGCGGGAGGTTTAGATGCGCATGAAATTTGAAAGACATTAGAGGGTTGAAGAAAAGGCCAAGTGTTTTTGGCCCATACATGCACCTGTATGTTTTATAGTATGGGAAATATGGAGGTGTTCAAATTTTGTGCAAAAGATTAATAATTAAATCACCAAATATGCTAAATATGCTTCACTAATAAGTTGGAGATTTCCAAGTTATCTACACTTACTATATGTATTAAAATTCTGGGATGCATTAAAATTCTGGAAGTTGTACAGTGAATTCTTACTATGAAATACTTTCTAATTGATCATATTGCTTTTAATGAATTCAATCTCTTAGAAGTCAATATTCTCATTAGAGGGAGAAAAGATATTGTCTTATGTTGCTTAATGCATGTTTTATGTGGTAATATTTCTTTTTTAATTTTATATATAGATATTTGCCAGACCATGGGAGGCAGTTTTTGGTACACGGATGTCACTAATAACTTGTTTTTTTGCAGTGCACAGCACCCACAAAACTATCTCAGATTGTCGTTCATATTATTGAACCTTTTTTTTTTGTCTCGTCCAGTCCACTGAGCTTCAACTAGGCCATTCTGTTAAGTTAGATGGAAAATAGAACACATGAGAAGCAAGTGCAATTGGCACATTTACACCATTTCCCTTTTAAATGATCCTCAAAATTGATTAATGACCTGAAACCTGTAGTCAGCTTCTCCTCTCCTAAGTCTGTTTCATCTTCTTCTTTGGCAGCTGGAAACTGGCTGCAGACTGTTGCCCTCCTCTCTCTCACAAACACACACGAATCACACAAAAATATTCATAGGAAAACTTTTCCAGAAAAATGGAACAGATAAGGAAGTGCAAAACCTAACCAAGTAGAGAAAATCTCAAGCGCACATTGATCTTTTTATTTTGTGGGGCATTTTTACACACACACATAAAGAAAGAGTGAATCTGTCCCATGAGATTTAAGTAATTGGGCCACAATTTTTTCTATTAAAACCAACATTCAATTCATATTAATTTACACAACATTCAGATTTGGTTAGCCCAATGTGACATTTTATCACACAAGAAAGGGTGAAGTGGGTGCAATTGGGCCACATTCAGACTTGGGTCTCTACTCTCTCCCCCTTATATCCCTTCATCGCAGTTGTTTTCTTTGCTGGAAATTTCATCATTTTTGGCTTGATGCTCTTTGTCAGTGCCTTCTTCGACAGAGCCTTTTTTGCTTGTCTCTGGCACATTAACAAGAATTATAGAACACAAGTGAAAAGGTGTATCATTGTCTTTTAAAAGATAAAGTCTCTCCTTTCTATGAACTTGTGCTTCAAGATAGTCTGGTCCTCACGCAATTTTTTCATTTTGTCTATCTTTGGAAGCCTTTGTAATGCCTATGACAGGAACCCTTTATAATGCCTGCTTAATACACTTCATTGTTGTTACTTTTGTTGCGTATTGATCTCGAACATGAGATTTTAGGTTTTTAGAACTTTCAGTATTCAAGTAATTTGAATATGTAGTGCTCTTTTTATGGGCTTGTCTGGAGAAATTTAACGAACTATGAAGGTCTATGCATGCCTTGTGCTGGTTTTGTCGTTTAGAATGCTCAGAATACAGTATCTGTTTTGGTTATCCTTTGTTTCTAATGTTGGTCCATCATGTAGGGAAACAACTGATGCTCCGTGTTGCAGAATTGGTCCCCAAACATTCGAATAGGACCAAAAAGCAAGAACCTGCGACATCTTCAGCAGCTGGCCCTTCGAAGCCTGCAAAGGGTGGAAAGAAGAAGAGATAACTTCATGAAACTCATGGTGGTTATTTCCACCATATTTGGTCTGAACATGATGTATTTTGGAACCTGTCACATCATTTTTATCTTTTCCTCATTTTAAGATGCGTTCAGGGTTGCAAAAAATTTTGGGATCTGAAGCCCTGCCTCTATTATATCCTACTACCTCTTGTTCCGGACCTTTCTTGCTTGAATGGCAATCTCATAGAGCTCATTCTTCGTTGGCAAATTCTTGTATTCTCGTTCTGCTGATTTAGAATTGTTTTGCTCTTCCATGGGTTGAATTATATCGGATTAGTTATTGATGTTCAAGTTTGTAGACATTTAAAACAGGAGTTGGGTCCTGAAACTAGCATCCCATGATAACCTTTGATATTTTTCTAGGAGGAAACGACAGCTGCTTGCTTGACTATATAATTCTCTGTGCATTAGTCGAAAAGATCCTCTGCATCAGCAAACTATTTCAACGAGCTTGTGTATGAGCTTTGTTTGTTTAGTTTAGTGAGGTTGAAATTAAAATTTTGCTTCTTTATTTTCTTAGCCATGCTTGAATGACTTTATATATCGAAAATTTTTTGTTTATATATTATAGTAATTTTGTTCCCACACTTCCAAAAAGGGGAAAAAAAAGCCCCCACAAGCTTTCAACAAAAGATTTGGTAACATTTCTATACTTAGCAGACAAGAAACCCACCCATTGATCGAAGAAAGTGACTCGATTTTGCCTTAGCTATTCTTCTCCATTTTTTCTCGCATCCGATCCTCAGCCCCCTTAAGGAGCTCCTTATTGAGCCTCACTTTAAAAATTTGAGACATCTGCAAACAAAATATTTTTTTTAATAATAGGAGTAGTGATTTTTTAGAATTCCAAGTCAAGTAAATCACAGTTATTTGAGAGTGATTTTTTAGAATTCCAAAGCAATCACAGATATTCAAATTTAAAAAAGTTTGTAAAAAGTGATGGAAAACATTGAATGTTGAGAGGGTTAAGAATAATTTTGATTATGGATTTAGGGTTTATAGATTTTTGTTTGATGTGATTTCTTGTTATTGATGCACTGACAGGGTTTCGTAATATTCAAGAGCAGGGAATAGCCAAATAGGTTTCGAGATAAGGTTTGGTTAATGAAATCATGTGAGTTGTTATAGGCGTCAAATTTTTAGGGTGAGACTTGGTAAGCGAGCTCCTCAAGAAGATGAGGATCGGATGCGATTTTTCTCAATATAGTCCTAACAAATTCATGTGAAAAGCATCATTAGTTTTTTTCTACAATCTAAAACTCTAAATAATTGTTCTCTCTTTATTCACCTTTACAAAGGCATCTAGAGAAAAATTTATTAGGGATTTCAAAAGGAAAAGTAGAAAAACCACTTATTAGGGATTCTTAGATTTGAAAGTAGTGAAGAATCCTTTTGTTCGGAATTTGAGAGGGGAAATGGAGAAGCGTAAAGAAGAATTGATTACTCAAAGATATATAACATTGTTTTTTTTTTTTGTTCAATTAGCACTAGAAATATGCTTTGTATACTTTGTAGATACTTTACTTGATTAAAGCCCAAATTAAATTGTATAATCATCTTGTTTTATGTTGTAACTATGTGATTGTGTTGTTTTTACGTAGTAATACTAGGAGGGGAATGCCCGCGCATCGCGCGAGTGTTTGGTGCCTGTGGTTAAAGAAGATTTTACGGTAGTTCAAGCGAATATCAAAAAACTCACGCACATTAAGTAACAATATGAAATAACAAAATATCTAATGTATACTGGAAGATGGAGAAGGAAATTATGCATGCTATCTTGCTCAGTTCATATATTTTGAAACAAACACTTGTATATAAGCTTTTCATTAACAAGACTAAATGAACTTTAAACAGATACCCAAATGATTAATGGCAATAAACAAAATAATTATCCACTTAAAGATGCATCTACACAACATTCTTGTTGATGAAAGTAGCCAACTTTTTTAGCAACGACAAAGCCTAGCCTCAAAAGGTTTGGTTCCATCCGAGGATTCAGCAATGGATCATCAACCCCCGTAGATTTTGGGTGAACATAATGCCAAATGCCCTTAACATAGGCCCTTACCTGTAATTTCATTAACTCGATACTAATTAGATCTTTCCCCAAAAAATAAGGACAATTGAGGTGAGGTTTCATTCTTGAGGTGAGGTTTCATTGAATAAGTTGAAATTCAGAGTACAATGACAATACAAATAAGTATTTATCGGAAGACCAAAGGAACATAACGGAAGAATGTGAAGGGGCAGACATTTGAAGAATTGAAGTTGAAACTAATGCTCAATCATAAATTCCTTAATAAACCACATTGTCCTTGCTTTAATTGAGATGAAAATGACATTTGAAGTTCTTCAAGTTATAATAGCAAAGTAACAGTAACAATTGACACAAACCAAAATGAATGTCTCTGCAAGGACATTTAAGTAATTACACCAATAAAGAAGTTATTATGGGTTGTACCCATTGTAGAAAAGATGACCAAATAATCTCACATTCCTAAACTACCCAAACCTTTGAACAAATTATCACTGCATCTTTTAGAATACAAGGACATTTCAATAAACACAATAATACACATGTTATCTAAAGTAGTACCCAATGGCCAATACTATAACTACACTCAAAACAACTTCACAATCCCAAAATACCCCTACTCTTGCGGTTGAAATTCAAAGCCATTCTTTGACCCAAACTCATTCTTATATAGTATAAGGATTTAGGAAGAGATTCTTTAAATGATTAATACTTTAATAGTTTGTAATTAATATTTCATAGAGTTCTCAATGAACAACTCAAAATTGCGATCGTCGTTTATCTTTTCTCTAAATTCACTAGTACACGTTTAAACTCCTTAAAATTCACACCAAAGCATGCTCAAAATCTAATCTAACTGCAAACTCCATATAATATTTGTATAGTTTCGCTAGTATGAATTAAAGCTCATTTTGAGAAGGTTAAATAAGCTAAATTAAAAAATCTATGGAAAATATGACGTTAATTATTTTGTTGTGTCCCTTCGAGTGCCTTGAGTGCCAAAGATTTGGTCAAAGAATAATTAAGGAATAAGAATAATAAACTTTAGTAGCTTATTTTAGTCTTTTGGACAATATTAATGACATTTGTCTTTTGTTACAGTCTAACACGAAGAACTCAAATGTAAACACATTAAACCTTTAGGGGGTTTGGTGCAATTAACCCATTAACCCATTTTGAATTTAAATAATATGATCATCATAATAAATCTAAGCCAATAATTAAAGCATCGAGAATAAATCTTTAACTCTACTACAAAGCATCTGCAAGTAAACATTTAATTTTTCAACGACAATTATAAAAAATTTGAATTTGAAATTTAATTTTTGCACATGTATTATGGATCCAACGGTGATAGTGTATGCACTGTTAGTGTATATAAGATTTACTTTTAAGCATATACACAATAATTTTATAGAACAATTAGGTTAACAAAATATTTGTTTCATTATCATTACCATAAGGTAGCTATTCTAAAGTAGATTTATATTCAGGTGAGGTGAATGAGTTTACTTAATCTTTGTTCCGAAGTCCAAACACCACTTATCCCTAAGGGTATTTTGTCCCATCTTCTCCAAGGGGTCACAATAAATTATTTCTAATATTTCAAACCAAATCAATCTTGAAAGTCATAGGAGGTTGAAAATTGGAAAAATCATTGGAAACAAGTAGAAAGATGAATTACGTAACTTATTGTAGCCATCAATGACAAAATCAATTAGGACAATATTCAGATTAAAACTCACTTGTAGAATTGTTCCAGAGTTGGGTTTAATAGTGAAAAACAAAGTTAGTTTTATCACTTTGAAAACCATTATTTAGAATAAATTTTCTTTATTATGCCATAAACACATTTTTCAATTATTTGTTTATTTCATATGCATTACATCACGAAGCGCTTTAGTGCGTGATATAAAAAAAATTAGAAAAGAAAAAAAAACCAAAAATGTCTCGAAACAAGTAAATGTTTGATTTGGTCACACTGCAAAAAAAAAAAAAAAAAAAACTGTGATTATCTAATAGTGTGCAGATTATGGTCCTGAATCCTGTTGGTCCAAACAGAGACCATTTGGATAAATAATGATAATATGCCAAGTTTCTAGTGGACATGATCTTCCTTCTTTGGATGGATCCCTTGTCTGACACATCTGGAACCAAATTCCATATCAGGTGGCATTTGGCAAGAAGACCAATTTAGAGCTTTTCCTTATTTTATTTTTATATTACACATCATGCAATAACTTTAGGGTATTGCACCATGATGCCCAAAATGATAGTGCTTCTTTTGTAAATCAATAAACATAACTTTTCTTTTGTCTCCATCAAGAAAAGGGCAAAAAAGAGAAAATAGGTAAAATCAATTTATTAAAATAAGAACACATGTGGATTATGTCATGGATTAATTGCACTAAACCGTTTTGAACTTTTGAAGGAATTGTAGTTTGACCCCATAACTTTTTGAATAAAGAAATAATCCCCATTGATTTTTTTTACGAATATATTCTTAAAATCAATGATTTTACCATCTATTTTCCCAACTTAGTTTCCTTTTTATTTTTTCCTTTTTTCCCTTTAACTTCCTTTTTGCAAACCCTCCTTTCACTAAACTCTTAAACCATCATGAAACTCCGATTCCTCCTCTCTCTGCCAATAATTCCTACTTAAAAAAAAAAAAAACCTAGCAAAGCTCAAGTTTCAATCCTTCACAAATCAATCTATTCCTCTAGCTATGCATATTCTTAGAAATGTTCGAATAGTATAAAGTATTTTATGTTGCATAATTTGTTTATGTGGAGGAAGAGACAAGATTGTGAAAATCGGAACCAAATACACGAAGATAATGATAAAGGTAAATGTTAAAAAAAAATGAATCTAGTGTTAACACAAAAATGAAATTGACTAGATGGTGAAGAACAAGATGGAAATAATAAGGAAATGAAAAAAAAGAAATATTTGACGGAAAATACTATTAAAATATCCATATTTTGATGGCATTTTTGTCCAAGAATATCTGAATGGGGCCAAAGTATTTCGTTGAAAATGTTGGAGGGGGTAAAGTGAAACTTCACCAAAAGTTGAAGAGAACTTATTGCGATTAATTGTTCTCTCATCCATACTTGTTAGCATGTTAGAAGCATGGGTCATAAACTAGTTATTGGGACAATTCAAGGATACCAAAGAGGCTAAGATCATTAAAAAGTAAACTTTTTTTTTTCCTGCATCCCATCTTGAATTCTTGTTGTTTTCTTCGTGAATTAAAAATGCATCATAAATAAACTAATGATATTAATAACAATATGAAAATAAAAGTGTTACTGCTCAGAATTTTCCTCCCAATTGAGCAAGTCAAGGCAAAATTGGTACACCTATTTTTACTGCATTTAACACTTCATAAACAAAATCATTTCATTGCAAACAGAATCCCTTTTCTAACTGTCTTGCATTCAGTTGTTCACTAGAATTAACTACAATCACAGTATAGTTCTCAAATTAGTAAAATTTTCTTTTCTTGATATGAATTTCTTTGGATTTGAAGTTTGTATTGGACTTTCAATGGATGACACTTTAAAATGATACAAAATATAGTGAATTACAAAATCTTGTTTTGTCTACATTTTATTACTAGTTTTTAGTGAATTCAAAAGCCTTGTAGCTTTCAATAACTAATGTGACATCTTAAAAGTTTTGCATTGCATAATGCCCCTTTATGCGTAGGATAGTGAAACAACCAATACAAATATGGCATCTATATCAATAATGGATGCTTAGACCTTGGTCATCAAAATTCTTCTATCTAAAGTAGTCAACCCTCAATTTCCCATCTTAAGTGTCCAACAATTTGAGGTGGGCTTAATGGAGAAAGCGAAATTAGAAAGAACTTTATTCAAGTTGTGCAAAGTTGTGCATAATTTGATTTGACAGTAAGCACTCAGCAAGGCTACATTTTCTTCTTTTTCTTTTGTTTTCTTGACATCGAAAAAAGTCTAATGATAAGAATAGGTTACGAATTTTTAAAATTAGGATAAGTTGTAGACTTTAATGGGAAGTACAACGATTCTTGTAACAAAAGTGGAAGCTACATTTCTTCCAAGGGAAAGTGTTGGAGCCTTATCTGTGTTGGCTGAGAAAAATTGCCTCTGTTTGCATGAAAGGAAGGGGAAAAGAAACCATCGAAGAAAAAAAAGAAAAAGAATGAAACAATTGGCTTTGCTTTAAAAGGTTGCTTTCGTTGCCTAATTGGCCTCCATGGTCATATGTGACGTTGACAATTATCTGTTATAGAAGTATTGGTGCATGAATAGACTCTGTAATGGAAAGAATGTATTCATGCTAAAGATGATTCTGAGTCCTTCAATGCTGTTAAGCATCTGAATTTAGATATCCAAAAGGTATAAATCAAGGGAACAATTTGTTTTTGTATTAGTAGTGGGATTGTCATTCAACACCAACTCATTCCCAAGTAGCCCCCTCTGAGCCTCAGCCATAAGCACTACTCAGCCATTGGCCTTTTCAGAATTTCCCTTTGCAATTTCAATTCCCGACTTTTTCTTTTTTACTCCTTTTTTTATGAATGCTTTGTGGGTCCCAAACACTAATCCATCAGCAGTTTCAGATAATCTTTCCATGATGTCTCTTATCAACTCTTCCATTTTGTATTTCTTAATGAGTCAGTCTGAACCTGGACAAACATGGCTACTTCAGGTCTGTTTTCTTCCTAATCCTTGTTAATTTGCTGGACTTTTATTATTGGCATTCTTGAGCTTTCTTTTTGGCTGGATAATATAGTTCCATCTTTTATAATGTAAAAGCCCATAATCGTTTTGTAATACTTTATGTTTTTTTTCCTATGCATGACTTGTATTATTTTAGTTAGTAGTGACGCCCATCACTTAGTGTTGGAAGCTGCATGTCAGTTTTCTGGCATTTGTTGCTCCAGTGGCTCTTCCCTGTGTTCCCCAGTTGAATCTTTTATACACATGGTTTCATTTATTTACTGATGTATGTCATTTTTTAGGGTAGGTCTGATCCCTTCATTTCTTCACTTTTCTATCAAAGTGCTAATGCATGTCATTTTTAGCACTTTGATAGAAAAGTGAAGAAATGATGGAATCAGAGGCTCTATTCAAGTCAGTGTGTGGTTTTGAATGTGTGAATGAAGGTTTACAATGTTTTTGATAAGCCTTGTTCCTCAGCAATCTGCCTTGGTAAATGCTTGCTTGTTAACTTAACCAGGATCCGAGCTGTGTGCATTTTTTTTTTTTTTAAGGGTGGGCGGGGGTTTGAGACTTGATTATGTTCGTCCTTTCTTTTGGTGTCTTCCCTCTAATTGCTTTTTGGTTTATTCTAAGTGTTTCTTCCTGATTGCATTTTACATGGCAGTAAATAAAAAGGTTGCGTATCTCACAAAGACAAGCATAAAAAAGAAACACAGATCTGCAACTACTCTTAGTACTCTTTTCATAAGGCAGTTGATTAAGTAGGGAAAGTTCAACATGCTGCTTAAGCCACGAATTCAGCTCAGAAAGGGAAAAGAATTGGCTTAGATGAGGAACAGATGATGTTTGTGGTCAGCATAATCTGAAAGAGACTGAGGATACTTGTCACAGTAATCCATATATGTTGGCACGGGCAACGGTACTCAGGGTCATGGTCTAGTCTTTCTTGTAAATGAAATCATTTGTACATGGATTATGTTATTCACTTTAGCTTTGATGGAAATTATGTATTGATTGTCGAAAGACGCTGTCCTTTTTCAGGTGTAGACATTCATATATCCCTTGTTCCTAAGGTCCAAGCAATATTTGAAATTTGTGAACATCTCAGAGTACAGATTCCTATTATAAGTTCTAGTGATCTGGACAATCTGAGAATGTGAACTCCTATAATCTTGACTCAATTAATTATCAAGCACCTGAATGACTGTTGTTGAGTTATGAATATATCTCATTTAATTCAGAGATGGCTTAAATGTGTATTTTAATTGACATCAGTGGAAAAATAATGAACATTGCTGTTGTGTGAAATACTAGATAAGCATGATGCAAATAGTTACTTCAGTAATAGTTTGCAAAAGAGGTGTAAGCATGAGCAAAGTTCTATGATGAGCATCAGTGTTTTTTGTTCTTTTTTTTTTCTTGACAGACTTTTTACATTTTATTGATCCATGTTGAAACATTCTGTTTGAATCTTCCTTTACTACAGAATCTCCTAAACGAGGTAAAGGATCAGCCAATGCGCCCTCCTTGGAAGTTAGAACGGGTCACATGAGTAGGGCCTTTTTCCTTTGGTATTCACATTTGGAGCTACTGGCCGGTTTCATATTCCTCCTACTTTTCTCCAGTGGCACTTACTCAACAAATAAGCCTGATGTTGAAGGTATGTCTCAATCTGTTTTTTGGCAAAAGATTTGTAGTTTTATGAATGGCAATGATGTAAGCAATGCATTGTTTGGTTCTTATGCTTGGACTGCTGAATTAGAAACTGCAGGATCATTTTCTGATACTCACCAATTTGGATATAACTCTTGCTAATCGCAGCTTTGGCTTTCTTTCAATCAAAACTTTTGATGTCTTGTTTCTGTCCTAGCATCAACAAGTTCATACTTTTCTTTAAGACTCTTTTTCCATTAGTATATTCAATAGAAGGGCACATATCTGCTTTCATTTTATGAAGACGCAGCACCAATTGTCCATGGCATCAAAATTATGAAGAAGAAGAAGAATGCTAGAGAAGAAGCAATACAGTTGATTGATATGTGATCATTTTTTACTCATCCTTTGATGCGAACCTTCTGTCCTTACATAGAGTTTTTTTTAAAAAAATATTTGATGTTAAATCTCTAGTGGAAATATATGAAAGTTTTTTAAATGTTTGTGCACTTTGAAATATTGTTGAGTTCTTCTATAAGATGAGAATAGAGGAGAATTGAGTGTTGATATTGCTTCCACAATTCACCTTTCATCCAGGATTGAAGCATTACATACAAATGTAACATGCTCAGAAAAAGTAGCATGAAGATCATAACAGCTAATAACCTGAAATTGGGATTGAAAAGCATAGGTCTAATTATTTTGGACAAGACAAGTTCTAATAGTACCAAATTATGTGTCAAAATTTTGATCATGTAATGATCAGAAAATAGAATGCAGCTTGGGTTTAACTGATTTTGTTGCAATGTAACAACACGTAACCTTATCGGAGTTATTTCAGTAAAGAAAAACCTTGTTACCTATATCCTTCTTATATCAAAAGGTCCTGCATTCTGGATAAACACAAGTTTCAACCTGTCAGCACATTTTCATTCTTTGCTGAGAGATAATTATCATTTATGCTAATGTTTCAGGTGAAGCTTTAATGGAATTCCTAACAGCTTTGAATGATTCCAATAACAGAGTTGATTGGGATTTCCATTTTGTGAGCCCTTGTTTCAGTTGGTTTAATGTTACATGTTTAAATGGGAATGTCGTGGCTCTGTAAGTTTTCTGCTTTAAAATTGTTATTAGTAATCTAACGTTTTATTCCTAGTTTCAACACTTTTCTCTATCCACTTACTTTGTGAACAATATGCTGTTCAGGAGCCTAGCTTCTAAAGGATTTTCAGGAACTGTCTCGCCATCCATAACCAAACTAAAATCCTTGGTTACATTGTACGTTTCTGCATCTTAGTAAAGTTTCCACTATGTTTGTATCTCTCTTAGTTTTGGAAGCAAATGTTTTGTTTGGCAGTTTCTACTTCTGTAAACTTTTATCTTGATTTAAGTGGTGCTGCTTCACTAGGTTTCTATTTGCTTGTGAAAATAGGCATTTGTCATGCATGGGACTGATTTGATAATCTCATAAGAAGGGACTGGTGAGGTTTGTAATCCTAGGGAAACCTAAGTCCTTTATCAGCAACAATGCAAGAACTTAAGGAGACATCCTATATTTACTTTGCCCATATTGGAAGCATGGCGAAAGTGTTGTCTTAGGTCATAGTAAGTGATTGAAATCTTTAAGGGTCAAGGACAGAAACAAAAGAGTATTCTTGCTCTTGCTATGCAGGGACTAATCAACAGAAGTTGTTCCAAACTCACTAGAAAATTCATATGTTGCACCAATATCAGAACTGCAATTTTGATGCTTAGTAGGGTATTGACTTAGTTAAAGGAAGTGGTTAAATTTTTTTATTAAAATAAGTAATTAAGCTTTGATAAGTTTGAGGGAAATTATTTGCTCCTTGCTGGAGTTTAAGAAAGATAAAGATTTCATTGTGTTTCACATTCTATTGATGTAACTTACATGCCTCTGCAATCATGCAGGGATCTGCATGATAATAACTTGTCTGGTGATTTGCCCGGTTGTCTTAGCGCCATGGAGAATCTGCAAAATCTGAATCTTGGACAAAATAAATTTATTGGTCCTATACCAACCACTTGGGGCCAATTTTCAAACCTTAAACATCTGTACGTCAGGCGCATTTCTTCTTCAGCTGCTGTTAAACATTCAAGAACTCCCTACTTCTCTGTTTTTGCTTTCAAGATCTTCAGTAATTTCTTCAATTTTGCATATCTGTCTTATGTTGAAAATTTTCTTGCAACGTTGTTCCCCAATTACTAATTGTGCTGAACATGTAGTTTCACCTCTACATCAGGATACTGAAGGAAAACCGCTTAAGTGGACCCATTCCAGAGTCACTTGTTAATGTCGCTAGCTTGATGCAATTGTAAGTAATTTTTTTGAGATCTTTAACTTCTCTTTTATTGTATGTGCAGTTTCTTTTCCTTTTGATTATTCGGGTATCACCTGCATTTATTGGATTGTAGGGATCTCTCATCCAATGACCTAACTGGAAGAATTCCAACTAAGTTGTTTTCATTGCCCACATTCAAGTAAGTTACCACCAGTTTATTTTCTCCTCTCGAATTCTGACGACTAGGTTTCCATGATCATCATTTCTCTTCAAATGTTTACCTCTGACTGTTGACTCCTAAACTGCACACTAGCTTCATATGGTCATAACTGGAAGTTTTCGTGCTTCTTTGGTTCATTAAATTTAGAGGTAATCAGGATTGTCCTTGACTGTTTTAATGTTAATCCTATCCTGCGATTCTCCTCTATCAGAACATACAATGAAGCCTTTCTAATGATATTGTTCCTCAGATTTTGGTTTTGGTAGGGTATGTGAAAAACATTGGTCTCTGGTTTTAAATTAATTCTCATTGATTTTGGCATAGAAATTCTCAGCTATTAATTTAGATCTCAACATGTTAGATTTTCAAATATTTAAGCTTCAACTTCCTCATGTAAGTGGTGAACTGAAACTAGTTAAACAGTTTTACCTGTCACATTTACAATGGCCTCCACAGCCTCCACTTTATCATAAGTTTCCAACTTCATCTAACAGCTAGTGCTCAAAAATGTACGATAGATTTTAGTCAAGAAAGAGAACTACCAGGAATGCTCAGATTTGACGAAAGAGGACGAATACTTTACCTTGATGGGTTATAGAATTGAAACTTACTTTGCCTTGCTATTTGGACATGATGTACATGGAGAGTATCAAAAGAGCTTAATGTGTGCAGCATTGTAACCATATCATTTCCAAGCATTATCAGGATATCGCCAAAAATTATTATGTTTTTTTTCTCATACTGCTGAGAATTCTTTCTTGATGTTCTGTTCCATTCCCTCCAGTGGTTTATTTTTTTCTTATGGATTATAAATCAGTTTCACAGGCACACATCTTAGTTGTGGCACAGCTTTCCAGCAACCTTGTGTTTCAAGTTCTTCTGTTCCAGGTGTGGCTATTGGTTGTATAAGTTGGATTCCTTTCATTATTTGATCATATTTTTGGACTCATGAAACTGATCTCTCGATTTTCATTAGTTTCTGGCAAGAAAAAGAGGGTCCAAGTTGTAATAACTGGTGTTACCTGTGGTTTATTCGTTCTTCTATTGCTGGGGGGTGCTTTTCTACACCAGTTTCATAAAGTACGGAAGTTCAAACATGATGTATTTGTCGATGTTGAAGGCAAGTTTTCAATTTTCCATTTTTTCAGATTAAATTTTAAATAATCACTGCTTTTGGCTTACTTTGTTAATGTTGTATCTAGTTGTGTCTGCTCCAACTTCTCATACCAGGAGCAGAAATGTTTCTTAAGTAGGCTTCTAGATTTCGAAACCAGATCTTGAGATGTCAATATATTATAACAGATGGGAAATCTTGAACCATTCAGTCTTGGCTATTCCAAACTGGTGGTTGTGGGGATGGCTTTGTAGTGTAAGATAGGTAAAAAGTCTAAAAACTTCAGGTTCAAGGGGAAAAGAAGTGAAAGAAATTGATAAAACGTAGTGAAGGAATTGCCATGACATGGAACGTCTGTGATGAAAAATTAGCTGTAGCGGAAAAGTACTGCAGAAGTCATTTTCTGAATTTAGCTTTTTTACTGGATTTGTAATGCAGAAATTTCAACTCAAGACCTTTAACTCTTGGGGCTGCTATCCCAGTCTTTGTAGTCTTGTAGCCATTTTGCCCCTCAAACTCAAATTTTACATATGAAACATCTAATACACGATATCTCGAGCCAGTTTCTGGAAATAAGCATCATGGTGTTTTGCTATACTTTTATTGATATCTTCATAACTTTACAAGTACAAGAAAAGGGGGCAGGCGGTTGGCCTAAAACCAGTAAACAGAAAATCAACTCCTAGCTAAAAATTGCTAACAGTAGAAGCTATACGAGGATGTAACTAGGAATGTTGGGTTCTGCACAAAGATTTAAAACTTCTTGTCAGGTCTTGAAGCCTGTCCAACCAGATTCCACTTGTCTCCCCATTTCTTTAATCTGGTCACCTATAGAATCAGGAGGATAAACACAATTCTTAAATACTTATAGGCTCCTGTAATGCCATGAATAATGTAGTACTTACTGCTATTAAACTTCCTGTAAAGTAAAATTTGAAACTTCTGCCAAGCATGATATAAATCCTGTGGAAAACATTTAAGATGGAGTTGCAGAATAGAATAGCTCTATTAGACATTAGTCTACATCATGAAGATGCTTTAAAGGAGATTTGGATAGTCATGAGCTTATTTTTTGTATGGTATCCGAAATCTAGAAATCCAAAGATGTGTCACAACTGTGGAGTTTGTTTCCATCCATCAATGGTTATTGGTACCTAAATAATATACAAAGAGATAAGCTTCAAGATTTTTGTGAGTGTGATATTAATTTGAGCCTTTAACTGTTAAAAAGTACATGAATCATCTAAATAACATGTAATTTAAGTAATGCCACACTTAAACAAGATATCACTGCAACATCCTGGGAATATTCTTAATGTATCTCAATCTTTCAGTCTCACATTGTGATCCTTCCCCTTCCTGTCCCAGTTGCAGCCTGCTTTCAACTTGACTACAATGTAGAGCTGCTCTAAGCTTGGTAATTAAGCCAAGGTTAGATGCTATCCTTTGTCAGTGGCCTACATTTGGTATTAGCAGAGCTTTGGAGCTTGTCTACTAAGGACAAATGACACTTCTCAAATTAGTTTCTTAGAAAAGTCAGGTACTCAAAGTGAAATAAAAACTCAAATCCAAATAAATCATCAATTGTAGCTTAAAAAAAAAAGTGATTTGAAGTGTTAAAAAGTGCTATCAGTTGTGCACGTGCAGGAGACAACACTTGGCCTGTGATCGTTTCAGACTTTTGTGATATCTTTTACTTGAAAATCTCGAGAACTTTCATCTAGGAACGTGAAATCGCAAGTTAATGTGCCATGTACTATAATATGAGTCTGTTGATTGCATGTTCACCTAAAATTAGCTTGAATATGACTATATACTGCTGCTGAAAAAAATGAGCACCACCAGATGATGTAAACATTAATTTTTCCAACACAGCATGCTTTTTTGATTCATTTTTGTTGTAGTTGTGAATTAAGGTAGTACAGGAATTTTCCAACTTACCCGCCATAAGCAATAAAATAGACAAAATACCAATAATTATATAATTAGATAAACAAACAGAGAAGTTCACTTATAACTATCTGTTTATTAAGTATTAGATGAATCATCCACTATGTACAGCTATAGCCAAATATTCATACTGCTGAATATGCATTTAAGATTTGTTTACCAACAAGCAAGCATTACCTTCCCGCTTAAATTGACAATCATTTGTGGATAACAATCTCTTCCGTTTTAATGAACTTTCAAACTGGCATTTATGACTTCAGGTTACTAGAATATATTTTGGAAAGCTTTGACTCAATGTCCGGCATTTGCATCTTTTGTCTCTTCAGGTGAAGATGAATGCAAGATTTCGTTTGGACAACTGAGAAGGTTTTCTTGGCGCGAAATCCAGCTTGCAACAGACAATTTCAGTGAGAGCAGTGTTATTGGACAAGGAGGTTTTGGAAAAGTTTATAAAGGCATGCTTTCAGATAACACAAAGGTTGCTGTGAAACGCCTAACAGACTATCACAGTCCTGGTGGAGAGGCCGCATTTCTTAGGGAAGTTCAATTGATAAGTGTGGCAGTTCACAAAAATCTACTCCGGTTAATTGGATTTTGTACCACCTCTTCTGAGAGAATCCTGGTTTATCCTTTCATGCAGAACCTCAGTGTGGCATATCGCTTAAGAGGTATCTTGTACAGTCTCTCTTTCTTCATTTTTCATGGATGTTAATACTTCAACTTGCCTCCCTTAGTCTGGATAACTAATATTTGACTTAATGGATATGAGAAATGGAACTTCATTTGAACATTGTTTGTGGATGCGTATTTATAGTAAAAGTTGCAAACAATTGCTGCAGTTCTACGGTTTGGAGGAAATATTTGCTGGCAAGTGCGGGCAAATTTGTTACATTTACTTCCCCAATTCCTAAATGGAATCAAAGCTGCAATGAGTTTGAAAGTTTAGAAGCTTTCTAGCCCACTCTCTTGCATTGCCATCAAATTATTATGTTACATGTATAGTCGTGGTTATTGATTTTTTTTTTGTTAAACTGAATATGACTAAAGACCAATTTTTCAAGTGTGCACTTCCCCTTTAACTGCCAACATTAATAGCCTCTTTACCGGTATATGTTATAAACTGTTCTTGTGTAGGCACTGGTATTCTTCCACAGTTTAACCAGAAGAAGAATGCATTGATTGTTTTGTCATCTGAAATTGATGTCAATATTGTACTCAATTTAATATTCTCTGGACATAATTTAAAATGGTTTTTCCAGGAGACTTTCCATTAATTTTAGTCGTTCTACCCATAAATAAGTCAACTATTGGGTTTAGTTGCTTAATTGGACTAAATTTGATTATGAATTCTTCAATATTGTTACTTTTTTGTTGCTAGATTGCAATAATAATTTCAAAAGAAAGATACTTATTCCATAACAACTGTACCAATTCGCTGAACTTTCTACTGTGCCAGCATCTGCAAAAAGAGAAAGGTCTTACTGGCTCATCAAATTGTTCCCAATGAACTTTGTTCTAGCCTAGCAAGTTTAATCTCTATCTTTCTTTTCTTTTCTTTTCATTTTCAAGATATCGTGGAAGTTAAGATGTAAAGTGTGAGGGGCTCATGTCAGATCAGACTGGACAGGGATAATTGGTTATGTATTCAAAAGTATGGAAAAGGTTGTGTATGTATTTTAAAAGAAATTAGTTGAAGTAATTAAGACTGCTTTCTCAGAACGATCTTAGGAGCAATTTCTAGAGCTCTGCCAAATGTGTTCTGGTAAAGTATCTTATGCTTGGAAATGATGGATTATTACAATTAGGTGTGGAAGAAAGGAAATATTAAGTAAGATGCCTAGTGACCTATGAACAACGTTGAGAAGTGATATTCTTTTGTTGTTCTGCATGCACTGATGAGCCATGGGATCATGTGTTGCAGAGAGAATGGTGTTAAGAATGACAAGGCTTCTTGCTCATGCTGGAAGCTTCTTTTTGTGTAATAAGTTTTCTGGAGAGTTCAACAAGCCCTTGTAGAATTGTTTCCACATTGAGCTTACGATATGCTTTTGGTGTTAGAATCGTTTCATATTCAGCTTAAGTTCACCTTAGAAGTATGCATGGAGTTCAGATGCCTTTGAAATTTGTACTAGTAAAAAAAAAAATTAATTAAGCAAATGTGAGCGACGAAATAAAAAAAAAATAGTAATATTGGGAATGAAACGAGGAGTTTCATGTACCATTTTCAGACTTGTGATTTCAAATAAACATGCTAATACATGAACTTTTTGTTCTGTGATTGGGATAGATATTGAAACTTGGAGATATAGTACTGAGAGAAGTGAAAATGTGTAAAGGGTGCCCTATGTTGACTCAATGCCCATTGAGTTGCTATCTTACCCTTCTGAGATTGACAATGTCAGTAAGACATTGTATTCCCATTTCCAACTATTTGAATAGGGTACTGGGAATTTAAGGACAAGTTCTTTTTCTTGTTTTCCTTTTCTCATAAATGTTTGAAAATGGAATTTGAGGTTAATTTTTATGTAAATTTTACTGACATATTTTTGATAGTTATACAGTTGCTATCTTTCTCTTTCATTAAGTTCTCAGTTTAGAGGTCTTATAGTTAGAATCCCTTTCTTCTGATTTATTTCCTCCACTGACATGAACCCCAGTTGAGTCATGAGTGAATCGACAGTTACTCATCTCGTGTTTTATGGAATCAACACCCTTTTGATCTAAACCTGTATTGGATCTCAGCATGTTAGCACGTTAAACAGTAAGCAAAGTAGTCTACATTGAAGAGGAAAGAGTTTGAGTTTTAGCTGGTGATAAGCCGGATGAAGGTATGGTTGCCGTCGCATCATCATGCCCCTTGTGCCTCAGGAGACAGAGTGCTAAAATGGCCAGGATAACTGATTGCTATCCCTCAAGTTTACAATTAGTTTCTGTGCTGTTGTCTTTTTTTTTTCGCCTCTAACAATGTCTGTTCAGTTTTACAATGCTTGAAAGTCCTGTTCATCAAACAAGATGATGTCTTACAAAAACTTAATTTATATATGGAACAATGAAGATTCCTTTCTAATAGCTTCTCATTTTGTAGAAGTATCCAAATTGTTTATATAGAAGAATACATGAGAAAGGAAAAGTTCTTAAACAAGGATGCAAGTATAAATGGAAATCTTTTTACTAGCGTCTATCCTCTGTAGCAGGTTTCATTTTCTGTAGAATTTTGTGACAATACCCGTTTATATTAATACACAATTAGTTTGAAGGATACAGAGCAATTGTTGTATTTGCTAGTTATTATTATGCATAACCTGTAATTCTATGAATGACTTATCAGTACCTGTTACGTATCTATTTTTTATCCTGTGATAGACCTCAAACCTGGAGAGAAGGGATTAGACTGGCCTACTAGAAAAAGAATAGCTTCTGGTACAGCACATGGCCTGGAGTACCTGCATGAGCATTGCAATCCGAAAATCATTCACCGGGATTTAAAGGCTGCGAATATCCTCCTGGATGATGACTTTTACTGTTATGTTCCTGTTATATTCTTGTTTGTAATTCATGATATGACAATTATATACGGGTAGAGTGTGAATAGAGAAAATGAGAAATAGGCCAACTCCTTGATTTATTCTTTCTCAACACCTTTTGATAAATCTTACGCCCCTAGTTTGTGGGAGATCTTGCAATGTTTTTTTAGCAAATGCCGTAATGAAAGGGGTGAATTAGAGTTGCTGATGCCCAAGTGCTTCTTATACGAATTCATGGGCATAAACTTCAACAGGTTAGGAGGGGTGCAATTGAGGTTGCTTTTTGGTTAGGTCAGTTTATAAGAGAGGCAGTAGATAATATTGAGTGGATTGGAGAAATTCCTCCCTGTTTACAATCCGTAAGGGATTTGGCTAGATTGAAATAATGAGAACCAGAATTATTCTATCAAAAAGAAAGCGTTGGAACATTTATAATTCGCCTGTTTGATCAATTTATTTAACATTATTCGTCTAAGTTTTTCTTACTTTGACAGAGGCAATGTTCAAGGTTTTCTTGAAAGGCAACTCAATTCAGTGTGTGCTGCTCTGTGTGTGTGTGTGTGTGTGTGTGTTTTTTTTTTTTCCCTTTTCCATTGGATTTTATTTCGTCCAGTAGCCTTAACTTGTGACGTGTGTTTCTACCTGTTGTATTCCAGGTTTGAGGTTTTTTCCCTTATTCCTGTGTTCTGCCTTATATTTATTGGGTCAGTAGCCTTAACTTGTAAATTCAATATGGTTAATTGGATTTAATTCCTCAAAGTGGAAGTCAGCCAAGAGTATTATAGCTTTGTACTACTCGGGATTTGTACTAATTTAACATCCAACAGAATTCTGAAGCCATAAGAATGCCCTTGCCTTGGCTGACTTCAAGTAATCAAGAATCGTCATTAATCCCCTAGACGGAACAGGTTAATGGAAGAACTGTCATTAGAAAGAACAGGATAGACTAGTACGGATAGAAAGCTTAAAAATCATTTTGTGCAGTGTGCAAGTAGATCTTATACTGAGGAGCTGAAACGTGGAATCTGAGTTGCTTCTGGATTTCCTACTGTGTTTTTTCTAATCTCAGTGTTAACTTTCTTCCTCTCAGCTTTTAGTTCTCCAAAAGGATCACCTTACACATCCTTGCAATTGACATCTTTTGTGGCACTAAGTCTAGATTGTACCAAATGCTGTACCATGTAATAGTTTGTATCTCTAGCAACAACCGAGTCCAGAAGACCTCGATCTTGTACTTTTCAAGAATAAACATCTTGTGCAAACAAAATAGCACGCCTGGCTTTTTACTCACTGTTGGAAAGCTTTGTCAGGCACCACCTTTGAGTCACCAACTTGTCAATTACAAAATGCGTTACAAAGAGATTAGAAAGTTTTATAAGCAGACACATAGATGAAAGTATTTAGACCTGTAAGGTTGTTAAGGAACTATCCATGTATCTGTTCCAAACACAAATGGTCTCAGTTGCAGTGCTGAGCAACTCTCCTTGCTATTTTGATGAAATATGTGCTCAAACTGGTCAAGAAGTTAGTGTTCAGTTGGATTTCATCCCTGCATGCTACTAGCTATTTTGCTTCTCCATAGATTTCGGTGTGTCTCCAGACGCTGAGATTGATGAGGGTTGATTACAAGTATCTTGATAATTCTGGTCATTCTCCAGATCAAGAAGTTGCTGAGAGAAAAAAGGCTCGAGGACATCGTGGATGAGAACTTGCACACTTTCGATGCCAAAGAAGTCGAGACAATTCTTCAGGTTGCCTTGCTTTGCACCCAGAACTCACCAGAAGACCGTCCAACGATGGCAGAAGTTGTAAGCATGCTGCAGGGAGTGGGATTGTCTGCAAGATGGGCAGAGTGGGAGCAGCTTGAAGAAGTTAGAAATCAAGAATTCTCCCTCATGTCCCATCAGTTTCTTTGGGCTGATGAATATACACAAGATCAAGAAGCTATTCAGTTGTCTCAAGCAAGATAAGTAAACAAGATCACCAGTAGCCTGTGTACCACATTGGTGAAAAATCTCTGTAATTCCATAATATCATTCTAAAGCTATTTCAGGAGTAAAATTACCCACGGCTTGGAACAAGGGTTCTGTATGACTATAGTTACTTCAGCATATGAATGGCAGGTTGTGCTATGCATAACATATGGATAATCTAATAGTAGGATTTTCCTGCCTACAGCTGAAGACTAATATATGTTTGATATGCAATTTTGGTGGATTTTCTTGAAACACATTGCCGAGCTTGAAGTAGTCTTCTTAGGATATATATATTGTTTAAAAAAAACATGGATTAACCAGTGGTCAGATTCTTGTTCTGTGCAGGACACTCTATATCTGTTTATCTATTACTATTATAATCATGTTTCTTTCTTGAATTTGAATTGTGTGTGACTCTATATCTATCTGTTTTCTGCTACATAATATATCATCTTACTTCATTCTTTATTGATGCCTAATGTACCCCCATTAATTGAATTTCTTATTCTCGATTGTCAGCAAAAATCCCATTAAAACATATAATTCTTCCAATTAATAAAAAGTACATGTAAAGACTGAACTATCTTCAGGTCCTTTTTTTTTTATCTTATAATTTCTCTCAAATTATGAACCATTATCAGGCAAACCATTGTTTGGCTCTATGCATCAACTGTTGCCCATGTTTAAGTTATGATCCTTCTTAGGTTATATAATTCTAGACTAGATCCCTATTGATTTTTTGCTGAAATAGTTGAGAAAATTTCCATGCTTAGTATTCAAAGAAAATATTATAAATTGACCAAACTAAAGCAAAAATATTTCTCCAAAGTAGTCCTGAATAATATTACTGATTATATAACTCACTAATGGAGTCATATGCTATGGCGTTACAAATCCAATTATGTTTTGTTTTTTTCTTGCTGAATCTAGCTACAAGAGTTTTAGTGACAGATAAGTTGATATTATCTCAAGGATTTCAAGTGCCTGATCATAATTCTTTGAATGTATATGCTTGCTATACTTTATATCAATCAATTTAGTTAATTTGTTCATTAGCAAGTTGTCTTTACATCAATTTTTCTTTCTCAAGTTGATTAATAGTGTTCCCATTTGTGTGCTGAGATTACTCATGAATTCTATGAAGCAATTATCTTTAACTACTAGGAAGCCTGTTTCAAGATTGAATCATTAGCCCTACCATAATAGTTGTAAATGGAAAAGTACAATTACCCCTTTTCAGGCAAGAAAGCAACTCTGAGCATTTAGCATGGACGAATTTAGAATTTATGTACTGATTATTAGGTTACAAATTATTTAGGTTTCGAGATATCTTTTTATGTTATCTTTTTCCTTGGTCAATTCTAAATTCTAATCATTTTGAAATATTTTAGCAATAGATTGAAGAAAAAAGAGCAAGGGTTGATGAGAATAAAAAACTTAAAGTTACATTTGGAGTCAAATGCATGCATATAGACAAACCAACAAGCAATCTTTTTTTTTTTTTTTTTGACAATTAGTAAAAGTTAATCAAAAGCTAAAATCTGTTTGAATTTGCTGTTTTTCCAACAAACTATTTTTGTTTGTGGGATCTACCATAACAATCTCTTAAAACAACTTAAAAATAACTCCAAAAACACACAATCTCAAATATACTAAAAATAAAATAAAATAAAATAAAACCTAAACCTTTTTCTTCTTCCACATACTAGCACCACCTACCACCGCCAGCAGCCACCGCCAACCTTCACACTCCCCTCCCCTTTGTCTAGTAAATTGTCTGAAAATATTTAAGGCTACCTTTGTCTAATAAATTGTGTTACATTCTACAGCATTCCACAATTTTGGCTTTTATCCCCCTATCAACTATCATTTAAATGCCTGTATGTTTGTTTGGTACTAAACATTTAACGATAAAGGGGTGAAATCAATTAATAATCTTATCTGTACTCTTCCCAAGCTATTTTGCTTGCCAGGCTTTGGGTGTCTTTCACTAGCAAACAAGTTTCCATGCACCCATTCTGACTTTGAATTTTATCTGTTTATATGAGTGGGAAGAACACACCCTCAAGAGTTGCCGATTTTTGGGGTTAAATTTGAGATTAGGTTTAATTAACTAACTTCAAAAGTCTGATAAAAAAAAATAGGACAAAAAAAAGCAAATGATTTTTTAAGTATGTCAACTAATACATTTTTATGCTTTAATTATAAAATAGAAAATGTGAACAAAAAGATGTTGGGAGGACAAGGAAGTCTAGTAAGTGTGGTGGTTAATTTAACATGATAATTGAACGTGGAGATGTTGAGTTACAATTAATAGATAAAAAAAAACATTTAGTTACACTTTTTTTTTTAGAGTTACACATTTTTTTAAACACCAAAGCTGGTAGAGAGTTTATTATTGTAGTAGAGATGTTAAGGCCAACTTTGCTAAGCATCATTATTGGTCTGCATGGGGTTAAATACTTTTGGCTACCTTCCGGTAATTTGCTTTTTAATATGAAAAAAAAAAAATAAAGAGACACAGAGAGAGAGAGAGATGTAACCAAGGACTCAACTCCTCTGGTTTGGTACCATATAAGTGACTCAACTCCTACTACATGAGCCACATTATGGCCCAAAAGAAAATCCTTAGGAGAGATTAGGCACTAATGGGATTAAGAGAAGGAAGGTATCATAATGACTATACAGATCTTCAAGAATTTCATTTTGCCAAAAATCAAAATTCTATTTACAACTAATCACACCCTAAACTTCAAACCCAATGCTCGCACCTTCTCAAAACAAAATAATCTAGCCTACCATCAAATCTCCAAACATGTTAATATCTTAAGAATAGAGAAGGAATTCTATCTCTATAATAAAATCACAACCAACAATTGTCGAGTATAAAAAGAAGTATAAATGTACTTATTAATATCTTAAAAAGTTTTTTGGATGGATGATAGACAAATTAGAAGATTTACCAATTTTAGTCCCTCTCCCTCTTTTGACCAATGATTGCATTATTTGTTCCATTATTATTCCGTGCCTCTTCATCTCTTTTTTTGTTTGCCCATGAAATCAAAATTTATTTCAATGATCAAATCTAATCCTTCAACTAAACTTGAGATTTAAGAATTCCAAAGAGAAGAAAGGAGAAACAAGAATATACAGTAGAATTTGAGAGATCACTTGTGATATGATTGGCTGCAGTTATAAGTAATGGTTGGTGGTAATTTGAGAGTAAGTTATAGGAGGAAGTGATTGATAGATGAGAACGAAATGACAGTAAGTGAGAGATAATCGTCATTGGTTATAACTTGTAAATAGGATAGGCGAAAAGGTCAGGTTTCTTTTTCCTTTTTCAATCTCATTTCATTATACAGTGAATTATCGATTAAATGAAGGTCATTACAGTCATTTTATTGTCACAAGAGAGGTCAAGGTAATTTATAAAACCTGAGGGGAGCCGAGTGAAATTGTCATAAACCTCAACGGAGGTTTGTGAAATTACCCCTATTTCAAAAGCGAAGAAACCGATCAAATAGTCAAATACTCCATTAGATTTCGCCGCGTATCCATGATTTCATTCGAGTCATTCACATTTGAGATATATGGTCTGATGAACCTTGCCAAGCTAAACCGCGTGTTCATTCATTCACATTTGAGAATCCTCCTCAGCTGTAGAAGCAGAAGATGATGGCGATGCAGAGAAGAGTTTGTTCTGCCATAATTCTTTCCATTGCTCAGTCTCAGGAAGCAGCAGCAGCTTCATTAGGTACCACTGCTACTGCTAGGTGTACTACTCTTGCGTCATTTCTCTTTGCATTCCCAAACCCTAAAGCCCAATTAACTTTTTATTCTGCTGTTAGTGGCAAAGTTAAGAGTTATCCTGGAAAAGCTCTGAAGTTTCAACCGGGATTGAGGAATGATATTAATAATGTCGACAGTCTTGATGATGCTCTGAGCTTGTACCGGCAGATGGTCCGGATGAGGCCTCTGCCTTGTGTTATTCAGTTCAATCAATTGCTGGACCGTATTGTTAAGATGAAGAATCATTATGTATCTGCTATTTCCCTTTTTAGAGATATGTGTGTCAAGGGCATTCCTGCTTATGAGGCCACCCTTAATGTTGTGATTAATTGTTACTGCCTCTTGGGTCGAGTGGATTTGGGGTTTCCTGTGTTGGCTGCTTTCATGAAGCGTGGTCTTGTTGCTGATGTAGTCACTTTTAGTACTCTACTCAAAGGACTCTTTCGAGAACATAGGGTCCCCCAGGGACAAGAATTGTTTAAGAAGATAATATTCGAAAAACTTTGCAAGCCTGATGAAGTTATGTTTCTGATTGTGATAGATGGGCTCTGTAAGTTGGGGAACATTCAAATGGCCATTGAATTCCTGAGAGTCATGGAAAAAAGAAGATGTAAGCCGCATGTTAAAGTGTTCAATACCATCATTGACAGCTTTTGCAAAGATAAAATGGTTGACGAAGCTCTTGCCCTTTTGCAGGAGATGATTGAAAAGGGCATTCCCCCAAATGTTGTCACTTACAGTTGTTTGATTCAAGGTCTGTGCAACTTAAGCAGATGGGAGGATGTTGGCAAGATCTTTTCTGAGATGAAGGTTTATAAAATTATTCCAAATGTTATTACTTTCACTATAGTGGTGGATGCACTGTGTAAGGAAGGGCATATAGAAGATGCTGAAGAGGTATTCCAGATCATGATCCAGCAAGGTCAAAATCCCAATCTGGTCACATACTGTTCCTTAATGGATGGGTACTGTTTACAGAGGCGAATAGATGACGCAAGGAGAGTTTTCAATACCATGGTTGCTAGCGGCCTTACACCTGATCTCCATAGCTATGGTATTCTAATAAATGCCTATTCCAAGACCAAGAAAATGGAAGCAGCCATGAATCTCTTTCGAGAGATTCAGCATAAAGGTTTAAAACCTAATATTGTTGTTTATACCACTGTCTTGCAGGGGTTATTTAGTTCAGGAAGGTGTCTTAGTGCACGAGAAATTTTCAACGAGATGCAAGCTTCTGGCATGAAGCCTGATTTTCATACTTACTGTGTGGTGTTGGATGGATTATGCAAGACTGGACATGTCGACGAAGCATTGCAGTTATTCCATGCAATGGAAGCTGATGGAACAAATATTCACATTGGAATGTACAATATCATGCTTGATGGGTTGTGCAAAAGCAGGAGGCTCGATAGCGCTCGAGAACTTTTCAACAATCTCTCCCTTAAAGGATTGGATCCTGATGTTAGAATATACAACACCATGATTGCTGGTCTGCTTTCAGAAGGTCTGCTCATCGAAGCCAAAGAGCTTGTAAAAAAGATGGAGGGGAAGGGTTGCCTGCCAAATGATTTTACATACAATATTATACTGCAAGGACTCCTTAAGGGAGGTCATTATGATGATGCGATGGTCTATTATGAAGAAATGGTTCATAGAGGATTCTTGCTGGATGCATCTACTTTTTCCATTTTACTTGATTCATCTGCTGAAAATCAGAACAATTCTTCTCTATTAATGTTGATGCTGAAGATTGATCCTGATTGCAAGAAGCTTATGGATGGGGGACAAAGAGGACCTTCACATTAGTTGCAACATGTTGGTCCTGCTATTTATTTTGGCCCCTGAACTTTAATTTGCAGGAACTAACATTATTTAGGTTTGAATTGGATCCTGTTGTCACTTATCGTCTTTGATGCAACTGAGCCTTAAAGGAGATCTCTTGGTCATATTTTGTGAAACACCTCCACAGTCTTTAGTTTGGTGGAGAAGCTGCATTACTTAGGGAAGTTCAATTGACAAGTGTGGCAGATCAAAGAAATCTGCTGCCGTTAATTGGATTTGTACCACTTCTTCAAAAAGACTTCTTGTTGATCTTTCCATGGAGAACCTCAGTGTGGCATATCACTTAAATGGTAACTTGTACAGGTCCTTTTTGTTCATTATTCATGGGTGTCAGCAATTTAGCTTGCCTGTCAATTTTACTTGGGATGGCTAGTATTTGATTTTATTGGAAATAAGAAACGAAATGGCATATGCAAATATAGTTTGTGACTTTGAATTTCAAGAGAAGTTTTAAGCTGCATTTCTGTAATTTCAAGAAAACTTTTTCTAAGATAAAATTGTTACTTTTATTTTAATTCCTAAATGGTGCCAAAGGTGCAGCCAGTTTGAAAGTGCAAAAACTTTCAAGAATAGTTTCTTGTTTTGGATTCACGTTTGAGGTGCCATGAATAGGCATGGTTATTGATTTGTTTTAACTGCGTTTGACTAAACCCATACTTTTTAAGTATGATCCAAAAAAAGTGTTCTGATCACTTCCCTTTTAATCGTAAATGCTGTACTAAATTGTACGGACATTCAGTAGAAGTGTAGCAAAAATATCGTTCTCTTGCAGTAACCTTGAATAGTTCATCCAAGAAACTCTCTGTCCTTTTTTAGAAAAATCCAGGTGTTTAGTTGTTTATTGACAATAGGCTTGATTATGGGATTCTTTAATATTAATATTTGGTTGTTCCTGAGTTGCAATAATAACTAAAGAATAGGTTTTTATTGCACAGCTGCTATTGGGTCACCATCTGCAATAAAAAAAAAAAGTCTTACTGGCACATCACAATGGTACCAAGATATTTTTTCTAGTCTAGCAAGTTCCATATCTATCAATATTTTTTTTTTTAAATCTTGTTCATTTTGGTGGAACAGGGGAGCAGTGGAATTTGTATCGCAGACTGAAGATTTGATGTCAGCTCAGACTTGATAGAGACAGCTTACTAGGTATTGAAACATATGGAAATAGTTATGATGAATTTTACATGAAAGGAATTGGCTGAAGTGATCAAGACTAATTTTTTACATCAGGGAAGATTTTTTAACTTCAAACCATGTCTTAGATAATGTTAGTTTAAATTGAATTGTGAGAAAATTAAGGGAAAGTCTTAATTTTAATTTATTTTATTTTATTCCTCGGTGACAAACATTGAATGACAAGTCTTGCATTGAATTTTATGCAAGAGATCTGTTTTACAACGGTTCAAAATCATGTTTATTAACTGTCCTATGGACAACTTAATTATCTTTTCTAATAGCTTTAGAGGAGGATTCACAATTTTGTGCAACAACATCCAAATTGTTAGACCGAAAAACTAATCTTGTTTCTGGATGCAGGAAAAAAGTTTGTGATAAAAGCTTTCTGTAAATGGGATTTTTTGTAGTTGCATTTATTTTGTGTAGCTGGTTCAGTTTGTGAAGAATTTCATCACAATATTCATTCCTACAGTATGCAGTAAATTTGAATTATTTACTGGAAAGATACAAGCAATAGAATGGAAATAGTGAATGTTTATCTTGAATACCAGTAACCATTTTTTGTTTGTCATAAAATTCTTTGACAAGGTATTATTGGTCACTGAGGTGGAATTGGGAGATATTCATTGATTTTGCTAGTTATGATTGGGCATGATCTGCAGTGATATGAATGACCTTTCAGTAATTGTATAGTATCTATTTGTGCCTGTGATAAACCTCAAACCTGGAGAAAAAGGCCTGGACTGACCTAGTAGACAAGAATTTCTTTTGATACAGCACATGGCCTGGAGTACCTGCATGAGCATTGCAATGGTATAATTTTCACCCTGATTTAAAGCCTGGAAACGTCCATCTGGATGATAACTTGGAAGCTTTCTTCGGTGGATACAAAATTATCAGATTGCAACTTAAATCCAGGGAACTGTGGGACACATTGCCCTTGAATAGTTGTATGTTCCTGCTGTGGTCTTATCGGTGCATTAATGAAATGGGTAAATACCTTGATTAGTGGTGTTGGAATATTTGAACTAGCTTAATTGATCTCTTTATTTAGCTTTTTTGACAAAGTTTACACTGTTGTCAAACTGTTATTATTAATCTTGAGTGATTGCAATTTGCAAACTAATCTTTGTCTTTGGTGGACTTCGTTTCTTCGTTAGTCAATTAGTAGGTCTTGGTTATTGAGTTGGTTGCCTCTAGTTCCATTTCTAATTAAATTGGAAAGTCTCTTGCAGTGTTTGACTAGGTTGTTTTACTGTAGCTTATGTTTATATCTACTGGGGCTGCTGCAATTTTTTCTGTACACCATAGAGCCTTCATGGCACCCACTGAGTTGCACTGAAGGAAACCCCAATCTTGATGAACTTCGGTCTAACATCCAATCCAAAGCCAGCTTTAAGTTGAAAGGCATTTGTCCTGAGATACCGGTCCAAACCATTTTGTGAATTGGATTGTGGTTAGTCGTTGGACCAAGTTCATCTAAATCTGAGCTGGAATGGATGTGCATTGCTTTTTTGGAGAACTTCGTGCATTTCTGCTCGTAAGTATGTGTCCGCTAGTTGAAACTAAGTTGTTGAATGATTACTTGTCCAGGACATTTGCATATCTGTTGTTTATCTTTCCCAATTCTACTTGATTCTTCTTTCGTTTAGTACTGCCGTCAGTTATAGTTTGTCTTTGACCATGGAAAGGCAGAGTTTGTGTGTGATTGTGATGACTGATATTCATCCTGCAAGTTTGGGGTGTTTTCTTTTTTTTTTTTTTTGGGCCCCCTTTTATAATGGGAAGAGTTCTAGAATTGAAATCTTGATGCATTTCGGTGGTTTATTTTATTATCTTTATTTTCATATGTTTAAAAGAGGCTAGGGTCATAAATGTGTCATGAAATTCACTGGTTTCTTTTGGGTAGGAGTGAGCAAACGGTGCATATTCGGTAATTCGGTTATATGAATTCGGTAAATTCGATTATTGGACTTATGGAAATCTAAACCGCTTTCAAATTCGAATTGAAAATACCTGAATTCATTCAATTCCGAATTTGAATTCGAAAACGGTAATGAATTCGGGTAAATCGAATTCATTTTTAAAAAAAATTTGCTGAATCCTTTAATTGCAGTTTTCGGCCTAATTAAAATAATAAGTATTATAGTTATACTATATAGTTATGTATTATACCTATACTTAATTAAATATTATCTAATTCTAGTCATGTATAAAATAATAAGTATTTTGGTTATGTTATGTATTGTTGTATATTTGTATTATTATAGTCATATAACAATTAACAAATACTAAAATAGTAGATTATACATCATTATATATTATTATTATCATAAGTACATGACAATACCATATACTAACTATTATTAATAGCATTTACCTACATAATATAATAATATATTAGTAGTATATACTAATACTAAACCAATTCTTTATAAACGAATTCGAAATCGGTTATTACTAAATTCATAATTTCATTACCTATTTCATACCATATTAGAATTCGGTGAATTCGGTAAATATTGCTTTTGTACCAAATTATCAAATACCCAATTTCAAATTATCAAATTGAATTTGAATTCGAGTATGAATTCGGTACAAACCGAATTTGCTCACCCCTACTTTTGGGAATGTCTTGAACGGATTCAGCTTTCGTTTAAAGGTGGTTGTCTGGATGTCCGTGAATCCTCAGAGTTTGTCTTTCCCCTTGTTTGCAGAAGCTATTGCTTCTTTTCTTCTTTAGAGGATTGAATAACAATTTGACATCCTGATTCCTGTATACTGCGAATGTTTGGCATTCTGGCAACTAGATCTGTTTAACTATTTTTGGAGGCAGTTGCCATGCTTAACATTATTTCTGAATTCTCAACTTTCCAAGATTGCAGAGTATCTTCAAATGCTAAGGCGCAGGAAACATGCAGGCATAAAGTGTGATTTTTTTTAAGCTCAAAAAAAGTATGATTTTTTGATTTAGTTTGTTTTATGAGCAAGGTTATAATTTGTTATTTTTCATACCTTAACCGATTTGGTGAATTTAAAAAGTCTCAACGTGATTTTTAAAGAATCACAAATCAAAACAGCCATCATCTCCCTCCCTCCCTCCCTCAAAAGGATCGAAAGTGATGCTCAACCTCATCCTTGGTGAATCAAACTTGCATCCTGTAGGTGAAGAGTAAACTCATGAAATATTTTAGTGTATGTATTTTGTAAATGAATTTACTTGGACCAATACATGATTTTCTTTTAGGGTTCGTTTGGTTCCCCATAGAATTGGGGTTTAGAATTGGAATTGGGGTCCCAATTCCAATTCTTCAGTTTGGACACCGGCAATGCCAGAAAATTAGAATTCAATTTGAATTCTACGAGCCATCAATTCCACAAATTCAATTCTTTGGTAAGACCTAAGAATTACAATTCCAATTCCATAATTTCACCTCCTATTCGGGTTAGTACGCGGATCCTAATGGGTAAAAAATTAAAATCGGGTCAACTATGTGAGCAGCCCTCTCTCGCGATCTAATTAGTCACTTTTCCTCAACCGCAAGTGCTTCTTCTGTGCGTCATCCCCTTCACCGTCACCCTAACATTTTGTCTCTTCCACCACCGTCTCCGGCATCGCTCTGCCACGCATCTACCCATCACTTCAGCAATCGCAAGACTGCTCCGAACTGGGTTCTTCAGTCCGGAAGGTAACAACTAAAAGCTCTCCTTTGCCTTCGATTTTTAACTTTGCAGCATTGAATATTGAATTCTGAATTTCTTTGACTCTAACGGCTATGCCCCTTTCGTGCTCTGATGGCCAGTGATTTGATGTCTCTCAGATCGTACCAGTGAATCGGCCCTCTCACCTTACTTCAGTACTTACTACCTGCTTTGGTAATTTGGATGGGGTGGAAGTCCCTGGGATGGCATTTTTGTTTTTGATCGCCTTGCATGATTTCAATGGCTCGAGTCTTGCCTTGATGTTTGCCTCTGCCATTCATAAAGTTTAGTTTATTAGTGCATGGTTTCGGTGGTAAGTTTGCCCTTCGCTAGGTTTTTCATAACTTACTTGGATGCACAGAGTGTAAGAGGAGGAGTAGATTAGTATTTTATCTTACTTGGAAGAAAAAGAAGAAGGAAATTGGTCCAGAAACTGATCAAATCACTTTTATGCTGCCTGCAACAAGAGTATTTTCTAACATTTAGACTAGACTGTTTTATGATTTCATTCTGTAAGGGAGGCCTACCTCATCGAAAATTTTGTTGAGAACTTCTTATGTTACATGGTCACATATATAAACTTAAAAACTTACATCGAACCAAATGCTTTGGGTCCAAAATGGAAGATAGGAAGGTGTGGAAAATACAAAAAATCAGATTCAGTTTACCATGTACTTTTAGGAATTGGCATTAGGTTACTGAAATTTTGTCATTACTCCCTCAACCATTTAAACATTAAAGGAAAGAAATTGGAACCGGAGGCTCCACAATGTTGTCAAATTTGGTGCCCAATTTGACAAAGCCGGTACATCTACATGTTGGTAAACAGAGGAAGGATCATGGATGGTTTGGACTCAGAATTCTATATTGATACTCGTCCAAGCATGAGTGATGCTGAGGACGCATAGATTACTGTTATCGTTTATTGTACATGTTAGATAATGTAGTGAATTTGGAGAACCTTGGCTTCCAGTCAATAGATAAGTCCTGTGTATGTACGTTGTCGCAGTTATTCAACTAGAGTTTGATATATAGATGTATGCTAAAATAGTTTTACCAGCAATTACCAAGGTCTTTTATGTTTTAACTGGTGCTTGAGACTTCTTTGAAGTTGTTAATTCACATATGCATGAAGGTCATTAAGTAAAAATTTGATTTTTGCCTGCAGCTTGGATGTTTGGCATGCTTTGAGCACTTAAATCCACTTTCTACTGACTTATCCTTTGTCTTCTGCATTTTGAGTGATTTAGTAATCTCTCTTTCTGTCAATGTTCACTTGAGCTCTTTGATATATATGGTCTCTTTTTGGGGGAAAATGAACGACATCATACTACTGCTTGAATGGATATGGAATTCAAAATACAGGGGTCATTACTGACTTCCAGTTTGATTGGTGACAGAAATTGGAACCGGAGGCTCCACAATGTAGTCTTGTTTCTAGAAAGAAAGCTTTGTCGGGACTTTTCTGTTTCTTTCTTTTGTTGCAGTGTGCTGGATAGATTTCTAAAATTGAATTGGATAGATTTCAATTGTTGAAGGGTATTGACTTACTTATGAATGACAGGACAAAGTATGACACTTTTTCTGGTCTCGGAGATGACTTAAAAAAGGATTGGCTATTGATGCACATTGGTAATTGATTTTTTTTTTGGGTAATCTCCAGTTGAAGTTGTTTTTGTAGAAGAAGTTGAGCTGATTGCTGGAAGCCCAAGTAGAGCAAGTAAAAGTTGTTACTACTCCATCGTGTATCCATGACTTTTTAAATTCTGATGAGTTCTTTTGTCATTTTCTTGTCATTTATTTTTAAGAAAATGAAGAACATATGGAACAAATAGGAAAAGTTCTTGATTGATTTTCGCCGTCCTGCTTAGTTGAATTCATAAACTCTGCTAAGAATGTCTGAGATCTTTATTTGTGAGTCAGTCCTGTGCCTTTGGAAGAATAAACCTACTTGTGTGAGACGTAGCTTGCTGTTGAGATGCTGAAATTTGTTTGCATTATCCATGGTATTCACCAATATCTGATGTTCTTCATATCTAGGTACTTAAGGTATTGACTTATGGACCAGCATTCTAAGTGCTGGATGTGTCATACCATGGAGCTTGCTGTAGGGTCTTTAGTTGGGGAGCAGAGCTGTATGCTTTGGGGTCTTCCTTTTTTGTTGCTTCTGGAAAGTAATTGAGATTGTTTCCTTTGTCTGTCAAGTAAACTGAATTTATTTGTTGAGAATGTTAATTAAATTGTTTTACAAACGTACTATTTGAGTTAATTAGTGACTAATTCACTGTCCAATATTCTACCATGTTTTAAGAAATATGCTAGTGTCATTGGGGATTTACTTTTAAGGGGGTGAGGTCCAATTTTGGTTGGATGCCAATATCTATACCATCTGGAAATGTTCACCAAAGAAATTGATATGAGAGTGGGAAAAAATAAATTATTAAAGGCACAAATTGGTTCTTTCTTTTAAATCTTTAGTAAAAATTAGCTAAATGTAAGAAAAAAAGAAATTATTATATAAAAAAGAAAAAAAAAGAAAAATTTTATGTAAGCAAATGTTTCATGAAAACAATTCTAATTCCTAATGAATTCTTCTCTCATACAAACAAAGAATTTGAAATTTCAAATAAATTCCGTATCAATTCTATACATTTCCCAAACGAAAGAATTGAAATGATTTGGAATTTTAATTCATAGAATTCCAATTCTATAGAATTTCAATTCTAATTCAATTCTAATTCTGTAGAACCAAACGTAGCCTTAGTCTTTTTGGGGTCGGGTCTCTCATGGCACGCCTCTCTGCCTGCCAAGCTTCCTTTCTCCTCAACCTTGGAGAGGCAAAAATTAAGACGACCAAAAAATAATAATAATAATCAACCGTTCAATTATTCATTTCCTTTATTTTATAATGAAATCAGTGAAATTTCAACGGAAAAACAAGAAATAATTCAGAATGAATTTAAGTCTTAAGAAACTTCTGAGTTATGGGAGTGACTCAACCAATGAGTATAAGCTCCATTATCATTTTAAAAAGTCAAAACCTTCTAATTTTCCTTGCCACATATAGTCCGAATTTTTGCTCTATTCTCTTTTTTTTTTTTTTTCCATTAACAAGGTAGTCAATACATGTATCTAAGATTATTAGCGTTGATCAAGTGATTAAAAGAGTTCTTGTTACTAGGTTCAAGAGAGTCAGTCGGGCTTTATGAACTGTACTACCCAAGGTTTAAAATATAAATGGGGCTTTCGGGTTTTCGGGCTTTGTAACTCATCATTTAATATGAATTTGGGCTTATATTGGGTTCAATTCAAACTCATTATTAACTGCATAATTATATATAATATATTAATATTTAGGAATTATTATGAATTTGTATATAAAGAACTACGGTAAAATGTAGAAAATCTCCTTGAAGTTATGCGAACATAAAGAAATATCTTATATAGGCTATAGTTTCAAAACATACACTTCGGTACTTCATGATTTGGACTAATTTAAAAAAGTGACAGAAATCGTCCAAATAATGAATTTGGAATTTATGTGCTTCTTTTGCGAGTATTTGTATTGAAAACAAACAAATTTTTAATTGATATACTTTTACACTCATAGAATTATAATACAGAATAGTTCCCATGTGATTAAATAAATCTACAGAAAAAGTCCCTTATAATTTTAAATCATACAATCTAGTACCTCGTAGTTTGAACTAATGTGAAAAATCGACAAAAATCATTTAAATTGACGAATTTGAGGTTGCTCAACATGCAGACATCAAGTATGATTTTTTTTAAGCTAAAAAAAAAGTATGATTTTTTTTCTTTTGTTTGTTTTACCAAGTTGTTAAGTAAGGTTATACTTTGTTATTTATCGCGTTTTAACCAATTTTGTGAATCTAAAAAGTCTCAACGTGACTCTTAAAGAATCACAAATCAAAGTAGCCATCATCTCCCTCCCTCCCTCCCTCCCTCCCTCAAGAGGATAGAAAGTGACACTCAACCTCATCTTTGGTTAATCAAACTTGCATCTTGTAAGTGAAGTGACTCAACCAATGAGTATAAACTCCATTATTATTTAAATAAGTCAAAACCTTCTAATATTTCCTTGCTATATATAGTCTGATTTTTTGCTCTATTCTTTTTTTTTTTTTCATTAACAAGGTAGTCAGGACATGTATTTAATATTATTAGCATTTGTCAAGTGGTCAAAAGAGTTCTTCTCGTTGCTAGGTTTGGGAAAGTCAATTGGGCTCTATGAACCGTTCTTGACATTCCCAAGCTTTAACATAAATGGGGTTTTTAGGCTTTTCGGCTCATCATTTAATATGAAATTTGGGCTTATATCAGGTTTGATCCAAGCTTATTATTAACTACTACATAATTATATATAATATATTAATATTTATGAATTATTATGAATTTGTATATAAAGTATTAATATTTTAATGTTATAATATGTATAATTATATATTATATATATCATTTAATATGCAATTATATGTATATTACATATAATTATACATGTGAACAGGTCAAGCCTTAATTGGGTTTAAGCCTAGTCAATAACATTTCTTATTAGATAAAGTAGGAGAAATTCCACTTTGTCTCTTTATATTGTCCCCTAACTCTGTGAAGTGATTAGTTATGCTCTACTTTGAACCAAAAAGACATACACTATGAAATGAAGTATTATTTGAAATCAAAAGAAGAATTTTAGACTTTGTGTGCATAAAAATGAACCAATGATGTTTATTTGCAATCGCCTTCAAAATTAAGAGTGTACATAGTGCAATAAGGAGATATGCAGTTTTGATTCTCAATATTTGGTACTTGTGCGATTTAAATCTGTAACATTTCAACGAAAGCAAATCTGATCTATAATATTTGGCATTAAGTATGGTTTCTTTTTTAGTCCCTATGGTTTCATCACAAACAAATCTGAGCCTTAATGTTTGATAGGTGTCGAGTCTGTGCAATAATAAATGTCTGCTCAAACAAAATATGATTTTTGTAGATAGTGATAAGCAGGGTCGTATCCTCAGGAACTGGGGATATTTGTTTCTTTAAAGTTCCAATTGGCAATGGGGGTTTTATCGGAATCAAGCTAAAAACAATTAAGCAATTCAACCAAAAACAAACAATTAACTAATACGAATGTAGACAGGAATTAAATAAAAAATAGATAAATTCTAGCCAAGGATACAACTTCTCAGACGCAATCCATTCATCCGATCATTGATGCAATGGAGGTTCACTTAATTTGTTAATAGATTAGTTATAATCGCCAACAAACTCTGATGACCAGTTTTTCCTTAGTTTATTGATAACCAAGGCACGACCATTAATTATCCCTAATCAGGAAGCACTCCTAGGTACAACCGTAGGAGTTAATCCTCTAATTGCATTAAGAGTTAGAAAAGCCTAACCCTAATGAATAACACGCTACGAGGGTTATTTAGATCAGATCGCATGTTTCCCTAGTATGTATAAACGCTAGTTGCCACTGATATTAATCGATTAAACAATTACGAATTTAATTGATTAATTTAGCAGGAGATTAACAAGTTATCTTGAATATCGGACCCTTGACATCCAATTAACAAAATAATCTCATAAAAATTCAAATAGAAAATGTATATATATCAATAGATTAAGGAACGCATGAAAACTAATTCGATCTCACAGATATTCGGGACTGCATCATTGCGTTGATCCTTCACTAGATGAAAAACTTAGCCACGCCTCATAAAAAAATTTTCATGCAATTTAATTGATTTCGAAAACGTCTCCTTTTCTCTAATACAAATCCAGAATAAAAACTGTTTTTCTGTTGGCCTAATAGCAAGAACGGAAGAAGCCAAAAACAAAGAAACGAAGAAACGGGACCAAAAAAACAAAAGAACGAAGTTGTCCTTAATCTAAACAATCACCAGCCTTTTTTCTAGTTGGGCCCCTCCAAATAAGGAAAAAAAACAATTTGTAAAGCACTATCAAATGTTCCTTGTCTTCTGTTTCCTAATACTTAAAACTCCCTAATACTAGTAAACTCCTAGTCAGCAAAAGGAAAGGACTCTGTTGTAGCACAATGTGGCGCCAGATTTGTAAATATCTTGGAAGCTTTCCACGTGCAAAGCATTCTCTCAAGAAGATCTCCCTTTTTAGCACTTTTCTGCTCCACTTCCTGAAATTAGGTCCAAATACCAAATATAAGTATATGTTAGCATTTAAAACAATATCTGGCAATGGCAAAAAGGGAAATTAACCATAAAATTAATAACAAATTACGCCATATCAATTCTCCCCATACCTAAATCATGTTTGTCCTCAAGTATGAGAACAACTAAACTCAAACAATGGTCAGCTCTCACGTCATCTATTGCAAAGCTGTGCTTACACCAAAATCAAGGTTCAGTGGATAAGTGTCAAGACACAATCCTCCTAGTTAGCTCCTGAAATCAGACTTGTCCAATTCATGTCTAACTCGTCTAGGAAAGCAAAATATTAAACTAGCAACAGTCAGCAATTGGTCCAACTGGCAACCAAAATTTCAACATTGGAAACCAAGGATCAGCGGGCCAACATAATCATATGCTTACATATTTTTTACATTTGTTTCTTTTCTCTTTTTTTTTTCTCTTTTTTTTTGTTTTCTTTGTTTTTCTTCTCTTTTGAATGAATAAATGCTTAGTCCAAAGTTATTCAAGTCTTTTGACGTGAACCTTGACATTTTGTAGATGAAAGAGCCCAGTTACTCAACATTTCACCACTTCAGGACTACCTACTCATAGATATCGTCATTTGTTGACACAAGAATCAACACTTGTGGTGAAAACTCTCGGTTACTGGGTGACGACACTAGCGGAGTATAGCTATATGTTATTCACAACAAAACACCAAAATACCAGACAATTAAAGATCATAATCCATGTCGTCTCCTAAACATGGAGAACTAAGATCAACAGTCGATCCATCCACACAACAGTTGCTAGGAAAATATTGACATTGCCTAAACAAGTTAACCACAATTTGCACAAAGTCATTAAACTCACGGTATTCACCAAGACAATATACTCAAGCTTGCAACCGAAGCTAAATTCACAGAATAAATCACATTTAGCAATAGAAGAATGAGTTGCCAGGCAATTGTTGATCACAAGATAAGTAGTAAGAAAAGTAAAAAATTAAAGAGGCACCTGTCGAATTCCCCTCACACCTGAATGTCACGTTGTCCGCAATGTAACAAATAAACAGCAAAAGCAAGAAGAAGGACAACGGAATTTCTCTGAAATCATGGGGATCGTGGTGGGTCACATCAGTGGGCGAGTGCGAAAAAGGAGGTGGAAAACCCGTGTGGTGCAAAAATGCTGCTAGATTCTGCACCATATGGCCACATTGGCATCAATATTGGTCATCCGAGCCTCCAGATTTTGAACTTGTGTCCGGAATTGGTGCCAGTCATCAGCCCCTGGGGTTGGAGGAGGCGGGACAGAAGTAGACAGGCTCGGATCAGTGCTAGCAGAGGAGGAACGGGCAGAAGAGTGTCGAGAAGGGACGCGAGTCGGCCCCGAGGGGGTAATCTCCCACCCGCCATCACCCTCCCTGACCATACCCATCGTTTACAAGTAAAGAATGTCTAAGAACTCTATTTGACAGGCTATATACAAATCATGATTAGAAAGATTAAGCAAATACAGATTAATAGTCAAATGGGTAATATATGACCCAAGAATCAAGGAGCGCTTCTTTTTAGTCAAAACAGACTTGAATTGAGAAGCGAGCTAGCACCTCAAATTAATCTTAATGTTGTTGTGCATGCACCAAATAAAGAAGAATTTAGATTTAGACAAAATTTTCGAACTATCCCACTTACCCGAGAAATTATAGGCCAAGAAACGTTGGATGTAACGAGATGTCGGGTCCTTTAGATAGGAACTCTTGGACTGACAAGGGTCGTAATTAGCACCGTCGATGGATATATCCTCCCAAATATATCCATAGCAGGAGAAGAAGGGTTCTACGTAGTCACAAGCACTCTCAGCATATTTACGAGAGTCTGTGGAGACCCTATCAATGAAACCAAAGGTCAGGTTAAAATCAGTAATTCAGTGATGGAACTCCTGACCTATTAACCGAAAATGGATGACGTTTGGGGTAGAGACTGTATAACCGGTGGGAAAGTTGAACTCAAATGTGGCATAAAACTCCCTAACCAACTCAACAAATGCTGGACAGTCAACAATATTAGCATAGGGGCGCCACCCAATAGTTGTGAACAAGCAATCAAAGTCAACCCTAATATTCAGAATACTCATAGTGGCGGTGTCCAGAAATTGATAGAGGATAATCCGGCGTTCACAACAAACAGCATATCGTTGCTTGTCGGCGGCCTTGGTGAAGGTCAAGTTACCTGCAAAATATGAAGGGTCGGAAATATGGACCCCCTTCTGCCTACCAAGGCAAGCTCGCTTGCCCGAGAAAAAAGGGACGTGTGAGGGATCAGAGGCAGGAATAGTGGGTTGGATTGGGGTAGGCTGAGATCGAGAGGTCCTAGACCTAGAATAGGGCTTTGGTCTCACCATTGTCGCTAACAGACAACCCAAGCAACATAAACAAAATTGCTAACAGATAGAGGAACAAGTAAATGCAAATCCATAGAAATCAATATCCTGTAGTGCAGTCAACAATCAACCCAACAAGCACTGGTATCTCCTAGTTGAAAAGGCAGAAGCAAAAGTAATTCAACCAAAAGCGCAACAGAAGCTCTAATAGAATCGGTAAACTCCCAAACTCAGCTCTCAGTCGAGAGGTAGATGACCCCAACAAAGCAATTGAATGCAACCAATTTTAACAAGTAAAACAACTGTTAGAGGTATCTCTCAAATATCAACTCAATCAACAGGAATTGTAACGCCCACAAAAAATCAACAGAGGATTGACAATCTATTGAACAGACGAATCAAAGAACCCAGGGATAGCACTGTGTTTATCGCAAAAATTAACGAAATAAAGGTTGTGGTCTCTAAATTGAATCGTCAAATACTCCCATAAACCAATAAACTAAACAAATGCCCAAGCCAATCAACAGTGTAATCAATATTCAGACAATCTCCATCAATGCAATTTAACGCAAATAAATTCTAGTAGAGGACTCCTTTATTGAGTCCAACAACCAAACCCAGCAATTGATGCTCCAAATAAGCAGGTAATAGGTAAGAATGGTACCTCTACCGTGGTGAGAGAGAGAGAGAGCTAGTGGCGGATCACGGCGAGGCCAGGAGGCGCAGCGTGCGACGAACTGAGCAAGGATGGCGTCGTGTGCTGGCAGGCTTGAAGGCTAGCGGCACGCAGAAGGAGAAGGCTGCGGTGGCATGTGGTGGAGGGGTGCGAGGAGAAAGAGATGCGAGGGAGGCGGCGGTGGGTCTCGGCCTGCGGGTGGCACGCGGATAGCAACAGCGGCTCTTGGGAGCTACTTTTTGCAATTTAACGCGTGCCCTTCTCGCCTAGGCACGCCATGATTCCATTTCCTGCCAACGTCACGAAATGTTGAGGTTTTACCAATATGGAATGAGCACACCAAGTTTTGGAAAAGTAATCTGATCCTGAGGTGATTTTTTTTTGCAAATTAACACTTTCCCTCCTTGCGTAGGCACGCCAAGATTCCTTGGCCTGCCTACATTTCAAATATGGTGTGGGTACGCCAAGATTGGTAAAAGTCTCCTGACCATGAGGCCGGGACTTATAAGATTAACGCGTGTCCTCCTCGCGTGGCCATGCCAAGATTATCTGTCTTGGTCACAATTGAGGAAAATATCAAAATCAATTAGTACCCAAGTGAAAAACGACAAATTTAAAGTATTGAACAATGAAAAAAATAAACAAAACTAATATTTGGGTTGCCTCCCAAAAAATGCCTCTCTTTAACGTTTTCAGCCAGACGTGGCCCAAAATTCGCTTAAACTAATCAAGTTGGGTCTTTTAGTTGCATCATCTCCACTCGTTCAATTGGAAACCTTTCATAATATGGCTTGAGACGGTGACCATTCAGCACAAAATTTTTCTCCGTTTTCAAACTTTGGATCTCCACTGTATCATAGTGAAAGACATTAGTCACAACAAAAGGACCGATCCAACAAGAACGTAATTTACCTGAAAATAGTTTCAATTTCTAGCGATACAGTAGAACTTTTTGCCCTCAGACGAATGTAATCCTAAAATTTGTTGGTCATAAAACATCTTATTTTTCTCCTTATAAATCACAGCATTTTTGTATGCTTCATTTCGAATTTCCTCCAACTCTTGTAGCTGCAACTTCCTTTGAGTTTCACCCTCCTCAATGTCCATATTGCATTGTTTGACTGTCCAAAATGCTCTATACTCAAACTCGACTGGAAGACGATATGGTTTCTCAAATACCAACCGATAAGGGGATATGCCAATAGGTGTCTTGTACGCCGTTCTATATGCCCATAATGCATCTTCTAGTTTCATACTCCAATCCTTTCTATCGGATCGCATCATTTTCTCTAAAATCGACTTGATCTCTCGGTTCGATGCTTCCACCTGACCGTTTATTTGAGGATGGTAGGATATGAAGAGTTTATGCAAGACACCGTATCTCCTAAAAATTGCCGCAATCGTCTTGTTGCAAAATGGCTATTCCGATCACTTATAATGGCTCACAGCATCCCAAAGCGGACAAAAATATTAGATTTGACGAATTCTGTAACCACTTTAGAATCATTAGTATGGGTGGTCTTTGCTTCCACCTATTTCGAAATATAGTCTATTGCAAGCAATATATACAAAAAATCAAAAGATGAAGGAAAAAGATTCATAAAGTCGATACCCCAAACGTAAAAAATTTCAACGAAAATCATTGGGGTTTGAGTCATTTGATCCTTACGAGAGAGACTTCCTACTCGTTCACATTTATCACAAGACTTACAAAATGAGTAGGCGTCCTTTAAGAGGGTCGGCCAATAGAAACCATTCTCCAACACTTTACGAACCGTTCTCTTTGGTCTGAAATGACCTCCACATGCAAATGAGTGACAATAGGTAAATATTGAGTTAAATTCATTCTCACTTACATATCTTCTGATGACTTGGTCGGCACCACGCTTTCAGAGGTAAGGATTATTCCAGATGTAATACTTTGCATCACTCTTCAATTTGTTCATCTTTGTTTTGGGCCATCCCGCAAGGAACTTGTCAGTGACTAAAAAGTTAACAATATCTGCATACCAAGGTAGAAATAAATTAACAGAGAATAAATGCTCATCGGGGAAAGCTTCTCTCAGTGAGAGGTCGTCCTCGACAACTTGTACTCGACTCAAGTGATCCGCCACTAGATTTTTCGCCCATTTCTTATCTTTGATCTCCATGTCGAATTCTTGTAGCAACAATGTCCACCTTATCAGTCACGATTTTGCATCTTTCTTGGTCAACAGATATCGCAACGCTGCATGATTAGAAAATACAATGACTTTAACACCTAATAAGTATGGCCGAAATTTTTCTAAAGTAAAAACAACAGCCAAAAGCTCCTTTTTGGTAGTTGGAAAGTTCAATTGAACTCCGTTCAAGGCTCGAGACGCATAATAAATAGTATGAGTTGCTCTTCCCACTCTTTGACTCAGCACTGCGCCTATCACATAATCGCTGGCGTCGCAAATGATCTCGAATGGTAGATTCCAGTCGAGGGGTTGGATAATAGATGACGAGGTCAATAGATCTTTCAACTTATCAAACGCCTCCATGCATGTTTCATCAAATGCGAAGGTCACATTTTTTGGTAAAAGTTGGAACAATAGTGCGCCAATTTTCGAGAAATCTTTAATGAACTTTCGATAGAAACCTGCGTGACCCAAAAAATATAACGCACTTCCCGCATACTCGCGAGATAAGGTAAAGTAGATATAACGTCCATTTTTACCTTATCAACCTTAATACCCCTAGAGGATACTACATGACCCAAAACTATCCCGTGTTCGACCATAAAGTGACATTTTTTCAATTAAACACGGGATTAACTTCTATACACCTTACTAAGATTAATTTCAGGTTATCTAGATAGTTATCAAAACTTTCACCATATACGCTGAAATCGTTCATGAAAATCTCAATAATCTTCTCAATGTACTCCTAAAAAATGCTTACCATGCATCTTTGGAAGGTGATAGGCGCATTGCACAATCAGAATGGCATTCGTCTGTATGTAAATGTTCCAAACAGGCACATGAAGGTGGTCTTCTCCTGGTTCTCGGGTGCGATAGCAATTTAGAAATAATCTAAAAATTCATCCAAAAAATAATAGTAAACTTAACATGCTAATCGTTCTATCATTTGATCAATAAAAAGAAGAGAAAAATGGTCTTTTTTTGTGACCGTGTTTAATTTCTGATAGTCGATACACTGCCGCCATCCAGTTGGCTTTCAAACTAGCATGAGCTCACCCTCTTGATTTGATTCTACCGTCACCCCTGTCTTTTTCGGGACCACCTGTATTGGATTCACCTATGAGCTATCTAATATTACGAATATAATTCCCACATCCAACAGTTTTAGAATCTCTTTTTTTACGACCTCCATCATGAGAGGATTTAACCTCCGTTGAGCCTGCTGCACGGGTTTAGCACCCTTTTCGAGTTGAATCCGATACATACACACCGCGGAGCTAATTTTTTTGATATCGGCGATGGTGCATCCTATCGCCTGTTTATGTTCTCTAAGAACTTGAATTAGTTTGTCTTCCTGAATTTTTAATAAACCCGCGGAGATCATCACTGGAAGTGTCTTCTTTTCACCAAAATATGCATATTTCAGGTGTTTCAGCAGGGGTTTCTATTTCAAAACAGGTGCCTGCACCACAGATGGAAGTAACCTTTGGTGAGATTCGAGTGTGAAAATAGACGCGAGGTCATATCTTATTTTCGTGATTGGCAACGATTGCAACGCTCTAATCACACATTTTAGCTCTTCACTCAACTCTATCCCAAAGGTCATATCTGACTCGAAGTACTTAGTCAATGCGACTTCTAACTTATCCCTGCCACCAATTTCAAAAATCTCCTGTATCGCAGGGTTAATAGCACTTACAGAGAAGACAAAGCTGAAATTTGAATTTGAAGGATATTTCATGATTTCAAAGATGTTAAAATGAACGATTTCGCCATCAAATTTCATGGATAAAGTACCCTTATTAACATCAATTTTAATCCGGACAGTGTTCAAAAAGAGTCTACTTAACAGTAAGGGTGATAAGTCAGGGGAGTGATTATCATCCATGTCAAACACATAAAAATCAGTTGGGAATACCAATTTATTAATTTTTATCAAAACATCTTCAATCAACCCTTCAAGGTAGGTATTGGTTCGGTCAGTTAGTTGGATTATTATCCCAATTTCTTTTAAAGGACCAAAGTTCAAAGAAGCATTTGTGGACTTTGGTATGACATTAATCGATGCTCTTAGGTCTAACATGGCCTTTTCAATCAAGGTCTCACCTATTCTACAGGAAATAGTAAACATACCTGGGTCCCCGCATTAGGTGGAAGCTTTCTTTGTAAAATTGCTAATACGTTCTCCCCCTCTATAACTCGTTCATTTCCTTTCAACCGCTTTCAATTGACACATAAGTCTCTCAAAAATTTTGTGTATCTGGATACTTGTTTGATCGCATCTAGCAGGGGAATATTAATTTTCACCTTGCAGAAGATCTTTAAGATCTCTTTCTCCTTGTCCTGCTTCTTTGGTATCTCCAACCTGCTAGGAAAGGGAGGTGGGTTAGTCTAAATCGTAGTGATTGGGTCCGAGAATACCTTGAGATCTTTGTTGCATCTGCCTTCCTCTTCAAACTCTTTCTCATTTCGTTCCTCGTCCTTGTCCTTAGGAATCACGAGTTCGGATCCTCGAATTTTCTTTCCACTCTTTAAGGTCATTGCGCTTACATTTTTCGGATTTAATTCGGGTTGAGATGCCAACTTCCCTTGAACTTGGGACTCCAAACGGTTGATCGTTATTGCCATCTGATTCATCTGATTTTGCATTGATTGCATCTGGCTCATTTGATTCCTTATGTTCTGCAGTTTGAAATCTGTCTTTTGCTGATGTTGCGCAATACTAGCCATCAATTGTTTCATCATTTCTTCCAAAAATAGATTGGAGCTTGGCGGAGGAGGTGGTGGTCGAGATTGATCCTGCTGCTGGTACCCTTATTGTCTACTTGGTATAAAATTAGACTGCCTATTCCCTCCATAGCTAAGGTTGGGATGATCCCTCCAACCAGGATTGTAGGTATTCGAATACGGATCGTATTGCTTTCTTGGCGCGAGTGCGTGGCCAGCTATGTTTACTTGTTCTGCATTTTCTTCTTGAATCAGCGGATACATCTCCGTAGAATGACTCAAGGCAGTGCATACCCCACATACTTTGACTTGTGGAGCATTTCTCACAGTTAGTTGTCGCACGAAAGATGTCAGTTTAGAGAGTTGCTGTTGGATAGAGGGCGTTTCTACCGCATTCACTCTACACGTCAGGATATCCTCTCTTGAACTAAACTGCTGTGAATTTTTAGCCATCCCTTCAATCAACTCCCATGCTTCTCGAGGAGTCTTGTTCATCAACGCTCCCCCATTTGCAGCATTGATTATGTTTCTATCGCTGAAGAGTAACCCCTCATAGAAATACTGTATGAGTAGTTGCTCACTTATTTGGTGTTGAAGGCATTTAATGTACAACTTTTTGAACCTCTCCTAGTACTCATAAAGAGACTCGCTTAGGTGTTGATTGATGCCGCATATCTCTTTCCTTAAGTTGGCAACTCGAGACGCAAGAAAGTACTTTTCTAAAAACTTTTTCTTCAACTGCTCCCAGGTGGTGTACTGCCTGGAGATAGATAGTATAACCAATTTTTCATCGCATCCTTAAGAGAAAAAGGGAACGCTCTCATTTTAATTTGTTCTTCAGTAATTCCAAGGGGCTTCATACTAGTGCAGACCACGTTGAATTCCTGCAAGTGCTTGTGATGCTCTTCACTTGGAAGGCCATGAAAAAATGATAAAAGATGAATCAACTTAGACTTCAACTCAAATGGGGTATTATCATTCAAATTAGGGAAAGTGATGCATAAGGGTTGTTGATTTAAATTAGGTGCAGTCAACTTTCTTAATGTTTGTGCATTCGCCATGGTGACTTCCACTTGGTCTGAATCACTCAAATTATCACCACGCAAATTTGTCGACTTAACCTTTGGATTAAGTCTCTTAGATGCAACACTGGATTGCTCCTCTCTGAGCTGTCTAGTCTCTTTCTTACTTTGGTGCTCGATTTTCTCTACTTCAGGGTCAAAAATCAATTCGCCTGTACGAGAAGAACGAAGCATAAACTAGAAAAATATCAGAAAATAAAAACAAGAATGAACTTAAATAGAAACAAATAACTAACGCCAATCCCCGGTAACGGCGCCAAAAATTGACAGGTGTCGAACTTGTACAATAATAAATGTTTGCTCAAACAAA